ATATGATTGGATTGAACACCATGCTCTTCCATCATTTGAAAGTATTGAATCGCTTCTTCGACCATTCCTCTCTCAGCAAACCCATTAATTAAGGAACCATAAACAACTTCATTCGGTTTCACCTCTGTTTTTTCCATTGCTTCGTACAGGTCAACTGCATCAGACAACAGGCCAAGCCGCACATAGCTAGCTATCAAAGCAGCATAAGACTTGCAACCGGGTCTACAGCTGGAATCCAGCATTTCAGCCAAGATCATCTGGGCTTCATCAACTAAGTCAACCCCAGAAAGCATCTGGATAAGGGAATTGTAAGTGCACTCATCAGGCCAAGTCCCTTGGTTCTTCATCGCTTTGAAGAGAGAAAGTGCTTTCTCATGAAGTTTGGCCTTACCATAAGCTTTGATCATGACATTGTACTCCAAAACATCATTCCTCTGACCTGTCATGTTCCTTTTTCCATAGAATACAGCCTCCGCTTCAACCCACAGTCCCTTTTCAGCATAGACATCAATTACCGCTGCAAGTGTGGTTGACGAAAGCACACAATCCAACTGGAACCTCTGAAACAGAGCTTTTGCCTGTCCGACTAAACCTTCACTGACATACATCTGCATAATAACAGGAACAGAGTGCTCATCAATGCGAATGCTATTTCTGTCCATCTCGGCCATAACAGCTTCAACTTCTCCAACCATATTCCGCTGGCACAAGATATGAAGAACAGCACGGTGAGTGACAGTATCAGGGAAAAGTCCCACTTTCCTAATTTTCCTATAGTAGTTAAGAGCTGCCTCGATGTCCCCAGCATCAGCATGAAGAGACAGAAGGATGTTATATGTCTTAGTATCAGGGGATATCCCTTTCTCTTCCATCTTCTTCAACAAGGATTCAGCCTCTGACAAGTGCCCATGAGTTCCACAAGTATGTATCATCGTGTTAAATGTGACAGTATCTATAGCGACTCCAGATTTAAGCATCTCCGAGAAGAGATTGGCTGCATCGTTTAAACGACCTGCCTTTCCATACAAATCAATAAGAGTGTTGAAGGTGGACGTTAACCTTGGCTTTCTCGGAGAAGAGTCTGAACCGGATGCAAAATGAAAGCTTTTCTCAATAGGGTTCCTAGCACCGACCTTAAAGAGCTCCATGGACAAGAATTGCTTCAAGTTCACAGGAGACCGAGCTGAGCTGTTCTTAGGAAAATCATCAATGGAATCCAAATCAAGATCATCAAGATTAACTTTTCCAGCGCACCAACCTTTAAAGAATCTATCAGCACGATCGAACTCACCAGAATTCTTGAAAACCCGAACAACAGTAGCCATAGTGACTTCATCTGGGAAATGCATTCTCTGTCCCATATGTTTAATCCAAAGAAGAGCTTCCTTAACTAGACCAGCTTTACCATAAACATCAACAAGCATCCCATAAGTATTATTAGTAGGCAAAACACCATTGTGAGCCATCTCAATCCAACAAAGCCTCAACTCATCCCATTTTCCAGCTCTTCCCAAAGCTCGTAAAACAATGTTGTAATGAATCACATTGGGGACATAACCTTGGTGAGATTGGAAAAACCGGAACACACGAAGTACTCTGTCCCAACGAGTCTGCTCCTTGAGGAGCACAGTTTGTTCCTTAGGGCTTAAATTGAGACAGAGAGAAGCAAGAGTTGTTTCAATATCAGTAGAAGAGTCAAGAGAACGCAAAATAGAAGGGATTACGCCGCCGTATTTGCGTCTACGAGAGCTCGGGTTAGGTTTGGAGCATCGTGGTGGAGAAACTGAGGAAGGTGAAGAAGCGGCGCAATGAAGTCGAAGCCTAAAAGAAACCCTAGAAGAGAAGTTACAGGGGAAAGAAAGTGGAAGAGGAGGAGCTGGAAAAACCCTAGCTTTAGAACTCAGAGCTACACGATGATGATGTGTGACATCTCTGGAAGAAGAGTAGTGACCACTTGGCTGAAGCATGTTTCTTTTAAGAAACTGCTCAGAGATAAATCCCAAAGTATTTAAGGGTTGAAGAAGAAGAAGAAGAACATGCCACTCAAGCAAAAAAAAAGAAAAAGAATTTGCGATTGAATTACATTGAGAAATTAGCGCGTGTTGAAATAGATTGGGCTTTAAAAGGATGGGCCTTTTCTTGACGTTTGTCGGCATGCAAATGCAATGGGCTCAATCGCTTGAAAAACCGAACACGGTTACATTTAGCCAACTACCACATTGTTTGTCAATCGAAAGATCACAATAAGTTAATGAAAAAATCTTTTTTTTTTTTACAAAATCGGGAAGAGTATTTACAAAATCGGGAAGAGTATTAGAGATATATACGGGGATATACAGGCATTAAAAACTTGCAAAAAAAATAGAAAAAACAGAAAAGCCTATAAATATAAACGATGGCTGCACAAAAAAAAAAAAACCCTGAAGACTAGGAAGAGAGAGCTTTGTGGTTATAATATTTTTCTTTTGTTATTTTTTTAACATTCTTTTTTGGTTTGGGAACTGGGAGAGATAGAGAAACAGAGAGAGAAAAAAAATGGAAGATGGTGTGACGCCTCCGCTTCTGATCACAATGAAGAAAACGACGATGAATCATGTGAAGGAGGAAGTGAAGAAGCAGCTATGGCTTTCTGCACCGCTTATTGGTGTAAGCCTTCTTCAATACTCTCTCCAAGTCATCTCTGTCATGTTTGTCGGCCATTTAGGCTCTCTTCCTCTCTCTGCCGCTTCTATCGCCACCTCCTTTGCTTCTGTCACTGGCTTCACCTTTCTTGTACGTTTCTCCTCTTTGTTTCCTTACAAATTAGAATTCCACAAATACATCATTCATCTACATTCATAATTCAATGTTTTTTGTGCAATTTGTTCGTTATATTAAGAGGATCCAGTTCTGAAGAAGCTACACGAGACGCCAGATTAAGATTTGTTTAAATTCTAAGTCGTTTCCTTTTTGTGTGTATGTTAAAACAGTTGGGAACAGCTAGTGCGTTGGAGACGCTATGTGGTCAAGCTTACGGAGCAAAGCTGTACGGCAAGTTGGGAATTCAAATGCAGAGAGCAATGTTTGTTCTTCTTATACTCTCTGTTCCCCTCTCCATCATTTGGGCTTACACAGAGCAGATTCTCGTATTGGCCCATCAAGACAAGTCCATTGCAAGTGTTGCTGGATCCTACGCTAGATACATGATCCCGAGTCTTTTCGCCTATGGACTACTTCAATGCATCAACAGATTCTTGCAAGCGCAAAACAATGTGTTTCCTGTCTTTGTATGCTCTGGTATCACCACTTGTCTTCACTTGCTTCTTTGTTGGTTGTTTGTCTTGAAGACTGGTTTAGGATACAGAGGAGCTGCTCTCGCTATCTCGGTCTCTTACTGGTTCAATGTCATTCTCCTCTCTTGTTATGTCAAGTTTTCGCCTTCTTGCTCGCATAGTTGGACTGGCTTTTCAAAGGACGCTTTTCAAGAACTTTATGATTTTTCTAAAATTGCTTTTCCTTCAGCCGTCATGGTCTGGTAAGTTAGTAAACAAAAATGTTGCACTGTTCATATCTAGTGTCTGGACTTAATCGATTCCGTTTGCAACAGCTTGGAGCTGTGGTCCTTTGAGCTTCTGGTTCTTGCCTCAGGCCTTCTTCCCAACCCGGTTTTAGAAACTTCTGTGCTTTCAATCTGGTAAAACTTGGTTAAGTTTGTCTTACTCTATTAGGTGTTCTCATTTTTTTTTTGTATTTGATAAACGTAATTTCTGCAACTTTGCAGTCTAAATACTTCACTAACAATCTGGCAGATCTCGGTTGGTCTTGGAGGTGCTGCGAGGTTAGTACATCAGCAACAACAATAAATATCTGAGATCAGATTAAATATGCTTATCAAACCAAGCTATCTCACTTGTCTGTGTTTCTTTAACTTGCAGCATAAGAGTGTCGAACGAGTTAGGAGCAGGGAATCCACAAGTTGCAAAAATGGCTGTATATGTAATTGTAAGCATTGCAGTGGCCCAGGGAATTGTGGTTGTAACGGTTCTGTTGTCAATTCGTAATATCTTAGGTCACGCTTTCAGCAGTGACCCGAAAATCATCTCATATGCCGCATCAATGATACCGATTGTCGCTTGTGGAAACTTCCTTGATGGCCTCCAATGCGTTCTCTCAGGTTCTTCACACTCACAAAATCATTTTTGAATGACACAAGATTAGCTTTAGCTCCTGGTTTAATTAATAGGAATTCCAGTTAAATGGGTTTTGTTTTATGGTTGCAGGGGTTGCCAGAGGATGTGGATGGCAGAAGATTGGAGCGTGTGTGAATCTTGGATCATATTATCTTGTTGGAGTTCCATTAGGCTTATTACTTGGTTTCCATTTCCACATTGGTGGTCGGGTAAATAATCTTGAAACTCACATTCTCATTCTCAAGTTCAAAACCCAAGAATAATTTTGTAGAAACTCTAACTTGTGTGATATTATATCATTTTAAGGGGCTTTGGTTGGGAATTGTAATAGCATTGGCTGTTCAAGTGTTGTGTCTTTCTTTAGTCACTATATTCACGAACTGGGATAAAGAGGTAAAAGCCTTTTTAACTGATCAGCTCAATTAGTTATCTATGAGAACTGTGCCTAATGTGATTATGTTTCTTGTTTTATACGAATAGGCAAAGAAAGCTACAAATAGAGTCGGGTCTTCAGATGACAAAGATGGTGACGCCGAATGATCAATCCCACTTTGAGGAAACAACAATAGAAGTTGCAAATGAGCTTAATAACGAATAATGAGTACTTGTTCATTCTTGTATGCCCCATATGAACTTAGTTGGAGATTTCTAATTGATTTGGCCTTACGTTAATCTTTTGGAAACTGGGTCCAGTGGTTTATCAGTACATAATTATTGAAATTCCTTAAGACTTAAGAGTATGCATTGTCTCATAAAGCATTGCTGGAAGCCAAAAGGCTTGAAACTAAAAACACATTTCATATTTATATCCACCAACATTGCAATATTGTATTGAAAGAGGAATTGAGAATGAAAATCTTCATTAAAGAATGAGTTTGGGATCTGTACACTCTCTATATAAGATGCTTCTACTCTCTTTATAAGTTGCTTCTCAAAATAGGCTAATAACAGAAAGATTTTTCTAAAATGGGTGTACATGATGATTAGTTCATCATCTGTGCGTTACATTTTCTTGTAACCAGAAAGAATTATTCACCTTGTTCAGCATCACTAGTTGTAAAAAGACAAATTTCAGGAATTAGTTGACGGGACAACCCAATTATAGCCTGAAACTCAAGATCCTATAGGCTATAGGAACTGAAGATCGACGTTAAGATGCCTCTTAAGTTCTATCCTATTGGAACTCGAGATCGAGTTTCCTCTTCAGATGAGATCTATCCGCACTGCAAAACCAAAAATCAAGAAATCTTCAAAAGTGATGATCTTTGAAGCTGATCAAAACTGACTGCATAAGGATTGATATCAATTCTTTTTACCTGGTGATGGTTGGTCGGTTAGGTGGCCGCTCTGCTAAGATGGTGAAATCTAAAGACATTGGTGCTTGTCCATCATGGCTAGCTTGTCTCATAACATCAGCACTCTGGTCCTTGAATCCATTAGCAGACTTACCTCGGTCAGGTATCACTCGTCTAAACTTATGTGCTGGTGACAACACTTTAATGGCCTTGTGTTTACTATCAGATGACTTAGCTCCATGCTGTCGAACTGGTCTTGGGAGCTCTGAAGGGTCAGTAATAGTAGGTGGAGATGTGAAGTACCTTTAAAAAAGAAATCAAAGGTCTGAGAACAAAACAAAATAACTGGTTATTATCTCTTCTCCATAAAATAGCTTTAGTTACCTATGTTGCAGAGCCTCCTGAATCGATATTCTAGACTTGGGGTCATAGGTGAACATCTTAGACAACAAATCTAGAGCATCCTCACTAATCATAGGGAATAAAGAACGTAGAGCAGGCGCGGGGACAAATTGATACTCTACATAATCAGGAAGGCAGATCATATCGGGCCACTGATCTGCTTTTGGGGTCCCAAAGGCAGCAAAGATTTTGCTTAATTGATCAATATCACTGTTCCCCTGCAATGGAATAAGTAAGCTAGTAAAACGAAAAAATAGATGAATTGGATCACAACAAAAAGAAAACGGAGTTCCACCTGAAGAAATGGTCTGCGCAATAGAAGTTCAGCAAAAATGCAGCCCGCAGCCCAAACATCAACTGCACCACCATATTGTTTTGCACCAAACAAAAGTTCAGGTGCTCTATACCATCTAGCAAAGACCTATGAAATTGCTGAAACAAATCAAGACACGAAAGGTAACAAAATTTCTACATAAATAGGATTGCCACACAAAAAAATGATTACCTGGTGGGTAAACTTATGACCAGGGCTACCAAATATACGTGCTAACCCAAAATCTGCAAGTTTCAGTTGTCCATTTGGTCCTATCAACAAGTTGTTAGGCTTCATATCTCTGAAACAGATTTGAAAAATACTACGTAAGTGTAACTCCAATTCTCCAAACTGTGGACTATTCATAGAAGCAGTAACATACCTATGCAAAACCCATTTGTCATGGCAATATTCAAGACCTTTCAATATCATTTGGAGGTAAGATTTGACATCAGCGGGAGAAAGAAACAGATTAGGATCGCGGATAACTGCTTCGAGATCAGTCTCCATGTACTCAAATACAATGTGCAAGTTCTCCTTGTGAGGGAATGCATCAATCAACTCAATTATATGAGGATGCTTAAGCTCTCTGAGTAATTTGATTTCTCTGAGAGCTGTTATATTCACACCTTCTTTTTGTTTACCAAGTCTTATTTTCTTAATCGCTACAGTTTCTCCATTCTGCAAATCACCACAACAAAACGAATCAGTTTCCTCTCATCAAGACTAAAACAAAAACAAAAACTACAAACTTTAATAAATCCATTGAGAAGAAAAATGCAAACTTTGACTTCTAAGAACACATATTAGTATAAAGATCGAAACTTTTCAGCTAAAAATTGAAGACCCTAAAGCTATCAAAACCAACAAAGAAGACACCTCAAAAAGGCACACGAGAGGAGAAATTAATTAATCACCGAGAGAATCTGAACCCTAATTTTAATGGGATCGAGAGAGATTATGAAGAATTGAGTGAGGAGTCACCACCTTAGTATCAGTAGCCTTGAAGACGACTCCGTAAGTACCTTGACCAAGAACCTCTCGCTTCAGATACCTATCAGCAACTTTCTTCGGCTGATCCATCTTCGGAATTGACTAACCAAAGATTACAAGTAATGCTCAAAATTACAATTGATCATTAGGTAATTGTAATCGTTAAACGTTGAGATTTCTTATGCTCTAGAGAAAAAAATAGCCGTTAGAGCAATTACAGAAGAAATCGACATTTTTAGGGGAAAATATTGAAAAAGTAAATGGAAAAGGTAAGAGAACGCTCTAAAGCTGGAAATAAAACGGAGCTGGACACGGCCAATGCGACGACATCGTTTGCTGGTTTATTACCAAAAACCAATGTGGTTCCGGTTTACTCAACATTCGCTTGGTCAAATATTCTTCGGTTTTAAAATTTGATAAGTCCAGTGGAGACGTCTTTCAAAACGTACAACACTATCTTTATGCTCAAAAGTCAAACCTAGTATAAATCCTAATTCGGAAACACATGTTAACTTTGAAAATATATGAAATCCACACCTCCGCTGACAAAAGAACTAGCCAATACTCAAAGCGTCGATTATATAAGTTTTTGAAACAATTGTAAATTATTGGTTGTTGATTTTCTATTTTTAGCTTAAACAAATTTGAATGACATATCTCAATATCTCATCCTATAAACATTGGAAACATAATTCTTGTATAGATTAAACTAAACTCTATCTAATATTTTGATACACCAAATTTGGATATTTCAAAGTGATTTATTATAATTATTAATTCATTTAGTTTAATATTTACAGATTAAAATTTTGACAAACAATCGACGAATCATATATATAAAAGTAAGGTTTCACTCTCTCCTTATTGGTGGAAAAATATTTAAGACTTTAATTTTTTTTTTTTAAATAAATAAATATATGTTTATGACAATCAATCAATACAAAATTTAATTAGACTATAAGTTATAATCAAATGGCAAAGAAAATGAAAGTACTTAATCATATATCATTCAACAAAATAAATAAATAAATTAATGTTTATGACAATCATTCAATACAAAATTTAATTACACTATAAGTTATGATCAAATGGCAAAGAAAATGAAAGCACTTAATCATATATCATTCAACAAAATAAATAAATAAATAAATGTTTATGACAATCATTCATTACAAAATTTAATTACACTATAAATTATAATCAAATGGCAAAGAAAATGAAACAACTTAATCATATATCATACAACAAGTTTTATAAGGCTTATTAGTGGAAAATTATTTAAAATCATATATATAAAAGTAAGGTTTCACTCTCTTTATTGTTCCATTTTGTATTTATTTTTAAAATATAATATTTATTTAATTAACCAAAATATTTAATCATATACATTAATTCATACTTTAAATTCACACTTTACTAATAAAATGAAACTGAAAATTATATAAATTTCCAAAGACTATTGGTTTTCTTTATTGAATTCCAATTAAACACACTATAAATTATAATTATAACTCCTCTAATTTAATTATTTTAAAAATGTAACTTACATCACTTCTTATTATAAATAGCTATTCTCACATTCTCCTCTACCATATCTCATATCTTCATTATTCTCTTTGTTTTTTTTTAAAGTTCTTGCATGGGGTGAAAACTCATTTAAAATACCATTGAAAGAGTTTGATTAATTATTTAGTTTAATTTTTTGTTTTCAATTTTATTTATTTATTTTTTTATGTATTTCTTTATGTCTTCGTTGTTTTTTATATTTTTAAATGTAATACATATGTATAATAATATTTTATGGTTATAAGAAAATCAAGCTAAAGAAACCATCTTCATTATTTTACATTGGATGTTTGTTTCTTTCTCACATATTCATGTATATTTATTTTAATTTCAAAAGTAATGTATGTAATTTTTTAACAAAATAAACTTTTTGTTATATAATTATCAAACCAATTTATAAGACATTCTTTTAAGAATAATTATCATTATATTTAGTTTGTGATTCAAAATGTAATAATATAAACAACATTATAATTTTTGTTAACTTTGAATTTTATAATTGACTTCCTATATAAAAAACAATTTTATATTCAATTTTCTATCTATTATATATACTAGAACGATGAAAAATATAATTAAACCTAGAGATATAGTTTAAATTAAGAGGAATATAAAAACAAATTAAAAAATAAAATTATTCTTTGGGAATTTTCTAAGGTTTCTCCTTATTGATCCATTTAACATTTATTTTTTAATTATAATATTATTTTTAATTAAACCAAATATCTAACACATTTAGTCATATACTTTAATTCATACTTGAAATCCACGCTTTACTATTAAATTGTAACTTAAATTATATAACCTTTCAATTGACTATTTGTTTCCTCCATTCAATTTCAATTAACACACTATAAAATATAATTATAACTCCTCTAATTTAATTATTTTAGAATTATAACTTACATCATATTTTACCTTATAAATACTCATTTTACATCCTGCTCCACCATATATGATATTCTCAATATTTTCTTTGTTAAATTTTTAATGTTTTTGCATGGGTCGAAAGCTCAATTAAGATATCATTGTAAGAGCTTGATTATATATTTTGTTAAAACTTTTGTTTTCAATTATATTTCTTCTTTATTTTATGTACTTTTCATTTTTTTCATTGTATTCTATACTATTAAATATATAATACATATGTATAATAATATTTTATGGCTATAAGGAAATTACTTTATCGATGAGATTCAAAAATATTGATTTCTGACCATCGCACTATAAGAAAATCAAGCTAAATAAACCATCTTCATTGTTTTAGTTTATATGTTTTTTTCTTTCTCACAAATTCATGTATATTTATTTTATTTTCAAAGTATGTAATTATTTTAACAAAATAATTTTTGGTTATATTCAAACCAATTTGTAAGACATTGAAACAAATAAAATTTTATACACAAATAAAGGTAATTTGTGTGTATATTTATAAGTTTACACACATATATGAATAAATTTTAACATTTTTAGTGGTTGTTTTGATAAAGTTTGAAAATGGAGTAAATTTAAAAAGTGGTATTTTTAAAAGGGTATTTTTTAAATTCTCCCAATATCATTCCTATTTTTATCATTAACAATATTATTGTTTTATCAAAAAATACTTAAAAGCACTAAAGAAAACTACTATCAAAATTGAACAATTAATCAACGAATAAATTCAAAAGATATGGATATATGCTTCTATTGTATGATTTAAATAAATAAAATATAAAAATGTCATAAACATTAAAATTTATTTAATTTATTTTTTATAAATAATAAATAAATTAAAATAATTAAATAAATATACAGTAACCCGCGCATATGCGCGGGACATTATCTAATGGTAAATAAAAATAATTAGACAAAAAGATATGCGTTATTAACTTAATTGAGCCGTTAAAAACAATTAATAATCAGTAATCATCAACTAGCTTTGTTATACAAAAGCTTACATCTCTATCTTTTACATGCTTACTGCAATCCCTCTCTCAACTTTAACGATTTCTAGTTAGCATGCGTTGTGATATATTTTGCTAGGTATGTTACAAGATAAGACACAAATCCTAATTCGTATAGCCAATAATATCAGTGTTAATAAATAAATTAAAAAAATAATAATAATAATAATAATATCAGTGTTAATATTATCGTAAGTTAAATATTATCATAAACTGACGACAAAAAAAAAAAAAAAAAAAAAAAAAAAAAATATTATCATAAACTACAAAAGGACCACATTTTTTGTTTCTTCTTGTTTTGGATCATTATATATTTTAGATGATCACAAGTAAATGTTAACTTCTGGAGCCCATGACCCATAGCCCATATTATATAGACCAATAAGAAAGAGCTTAAGCCCAATAAATCACTAGCATGCATGAGATTGAGAGGTACTGCACAATGAAAAGTTAACAAACTAAAGCCGAACGTTTGAGTCTTTTTTCGGAATTTGCATGGTCTAGTATAAAGATTATAAACATGATTTTCCTAAATACAAATATACTATAACCAACTAAATTGAGAAAGAGACCAGACTTGTGACTGGTGGGTCGTGAGGACAATAAAGACAAGTTCGTTGTAATAAAAATCTAGCCATAGATTCTCCTCATACAGAGTGGACCTCACTCTGATTTATCTCATTGTGCAGGTGAACTATTATTACTGAGCTTTGCTTTCGTGCCCACATCATCATCATCATCATCAGACATTAATCCTGACCGATAAAATCAACCTCATTTCAGTATGGTTAGAAGTTATAACACTAGTTTTAGAATTAGGTCACCAAACGTAAACTCTTGTACAGTTTTTTTTTAAAAAGAATGGTCGGCCTAATTCATTTTCAAAGTTACATCTTAAAAACGTAGTGGACTAGTGGTTGGCAGGAACAATAATTAGTGTTATCTTATTACTGGGAATAACAATAAATCTGGAAATAAAAGAGGAGAAGAGCACAAAAGCCGAGAAGGACGCATGTGACGCGTTAGGGAATCTAACACTAAACTATGTCAGAGACCCTTCCCATGTCTTTTCAGATGCGCCCACCTGTTTTTATTTTATTTTCCATATTATTTTAAATTATTTTCCTTTATAATCACGAATATCTCTAAACCACTATAATTACCACCTCTCTATCTATCACTTCTTCCAACGAATGACGTGTACTCTCTCTGCTCTATCTCTCTCTCTAAATATGTTTAGGGTTAATTAGGGTTCTTCATCTGTCTCTCTCTCTCTCTCTCTTCAGAGTCTTTATAGCTTCTTCCAAGATTTTTAATTGAAAGTAATTTACCTCTTTTGGAGTTCTGTACATATAGAATATCAGGAGTCGTGTTTCTTTTTTATCAAGGTTCTCATCTAACCTTTATAGTATTTTCATTAGTTGATAAAGGTCTTCATAGTTTGCTTAGATCAGATCTTGTCTTCGTCTTTTCGATAGATCTTGTTCTGTCCAATATACAGTGATTTTATTTCGAGAGCAAAAAAGATGAGAGGTAGAGCTCCTTGAAGTTCAAACGAGAGTTTAGCAGGGTAGAGAAAAGCTGCTAAGCTATGGATCCCATAAGCCCTAATCCTTGTTAATGATAAAGGATTTGGTTATATGGCTTGCATATCTCAGGAGCTTTAACTTGCCCTTTAATTGCTTTTACTCTTCTTTGGATTGAAGGGAGCTCTACATCTTCTTTGACTTCTCTCTCTATTAAGTCTTTCTTTATTTTCTTCTCTACAATAGTTGTTTTGGATCGGAAGATCTTTAAGTTTCCCTTACTGTTTGTCTATATATCTATGGTTTTCGTTTTGTTTCTGAATCAATATTGTTTAATGTGGTTGAATAGCTTGTTCTGCTTGGAAGGGACTAGGGTTTATGCAATTAGTAGATCCGTATTTATTTGGTAACTTCTTATGTTTTGCATTATTTGTTTCCAAGTGCTGTGACTTTCTTTGTACGATTATATATTTTTATCTTTGTCACACTCCTTAAATTATTGCGAAAATAAACTTCTTCCATAAAAATAAAGATCATGATCGGATCGGATTCGTAGAATCATAGATGTTCCTTAACTTGTTTAACAGAATTCATTTGTGAACTTACTTTAGACTACTAGCTGCTCCGGTGTTGTCTTAATCTTATATTTAAAACGAATCAAAATTAATCTTATGTTTTTAGTTGTTAAAAAATATATAAAATAAGACAATACCATATGATAAAGAAAAGTATTTTCTGATAGTCTGTAGACCTTTGAATCTTTTATTGTACAACAATTCATGGAAATTAGTAATTAGGCCAAAAAATTGATTTTTAAAAATATAACAAAATATATATATAAGAAAATTAAACCGGAACGTTAAAAAATAGTTTGTGCGAAGTAAATCAAAGAACTGTAAAATCATGGGATTATATTAATTAAAATGCAAAATTTATTTCTGTACAACATATAATCCTATTTAAATGTAGTTATATTTTATTCTTTTGAATATAATGATAAGTTGTCGACATAAAAAAACAAATTTGTTCCGGAAATCAAAATTCCATATGTATGGCTCCGGTTGAAAACAAAAACTGCTATTGCTAGGTTCCGAGTCTTGGAAATGTGTTTATGACTTTTTTAATATTTCATTTTAACAACTGTATAAGCCTTAATGTAATACAGTTATAGCCTTCAATGTAGGATTATCTTGTAGGATGATTACAAAACGATCAGTACATGTCTTCATAGTTCATACAGTTTTAGTGGAGGACATTTGGTCTCTTATTGCTGTATGTGTATAATAAAAGAAGAATAAACGTATTTGTTGCTATATGTGTAGGATAAAGGAAAAATAAACTTATTTGGCTAGACTTGCTTTCTTTGTTGAATAAGCTGTATGTAATATGTATAGAGTCATTGGCAGACACGCTAAGAAGAACACGCTAAGAAGAACACATGTGGAAATAAATCAAAACTTCATCTTACGAGTTGGATAGTTGTTTGTTGCAGATATGGACCAAACGCTCTTTTATAGCAATATATTCATTAAGGTCAAAAATAGCCCAATCAAAAGGCCCATTAAATCTCCTACTTTTCTCGAGGTCATCTAATGGCCACGCAGCCACGCTCAAACCGAGTGGTTTTCTAATATTGTTGTTCTTGTGTCATAAACCTGAAAATATGTGTTATTTTAGTATCATGGATGATTGTCCTTAGCAATTTCTACAGCAAACGTAGAAGTGGAACTTACTGATTATTTTTTAGTTTACAAGTTTGTGATAATACATATACTACAGATTTTTAAGAACATACTACAACTACTGTATTTAGTAGTTTTTTTTTGTTTTTTTGATAACTACTCCTACTAGTTTAGTAGTTATGCATCATTGAAAACAAAATTATAGCAAATTGAACAACGCCGTAAATGGAAAGTTTGGTGATAAAAACGGACGGGGCTACCTAACATGTGAAGTCAGGTAAACTCTTTCCATGAAGAGTAGGTGGTGGGCTTATGACATGCATACTGTTGTCACGTTTCTACGAAACAAGTGTCAGTTACGTTTAAGTTTCCGATAACACATCTATCAAAACTTCAGTTTCTAATAATAAAACTCTGTAAATTTCTGAGTTTTTTTTTAGAATATATTTTTGTTTATTTTTTCTTTTTCAGAACTTTAAAAGAAAAAATTACTGTATAAAACAAAATTTATAAAGTGAAGAAAATCATCAATGTGGGTCTGCATGCTGGAAAGTGAGGACTCCTCCTGCAAATAACTAGAAATTTCGCTTTAATTCCAACAACCACTCATCTCATCTACTAGTGACTTAGACAGCTTTTGGAAGAAGTTTCAAATGCCCGGATAGTTTACGGTAATATATTATACTAGTAATATACGTGTTATCGCGATAGGTTTCTAACAAAGCTTGCTGAAGAGTTAAAGAGTACAAAGGTTTGTTTTTTTTTTGTTAGTGGAAGGTAAAAAATGTGATAATGTAAAGCCAAACAAGTTTACTGGTCTAGTTTTCTAAGAATGTCACAATACAACAAACAGCCTGTTTTTGATATGGAAGCTATTTTTGTAAACTACGTCCAAGAAATTAAAGAAAAAGGCAAACGTTATTGGTGTCTTGTCACGATCCTCCCTAAGAAAAACACTTATTGCAAGACTAAACAAACAGACAAATCTTAGAGTTAGGGGAATTGCTTTAACCATTAAGTATATATATTCGGATCTAATTAATTTAACAACCTTTATAAAAATGAAATCAGCCAAAAATTATGATGGAATTTTAGAGTAGTGCGCACAAGAACGGATCGGATAACCGCCAAATTTAGATAGAGCTTATCTACACATTTATTAGTAGTTCACGAACCATTCTCTAGCTCTCACACTTTGATTTTTCTTTCATCTAAAGTCAACTCCTATGACACACCACTATCACACATCCATACACTTGTCATGCGTCTTAATTATCATCATTCCAACTCGGTTTTGAGATCGGAGTAGTCCAAACCAAATTATTAGTTCAAGAAGCTAGCTCTTGTATGGACGGTGATTCATAGTATATACATAGATAGAAGGATCTAGAGAATGATATCAATCCATGTGTGGCAAGTTTCTATACTACTAGACTAGTTTTTTTTTAAGTGGCAAGAAAGAAGAGCCACGTAGTAATAAGTAGTTGCTACGCTTTTATTTCGTATCAGTATATCTTAGTACACTGATTCTATTACACTACATACACATATCATAAATGTCTTGTTTTTTCGTCAAAACAATATAAAAAAATGTATATTTCTTGTCCCCATCCCTTACAGTATGATACGTATACGGACCAGAAACTACAAGTTATGACAGAAAAACCAAAAAAAAAAAACGAGGGCCAGTCCAGTTATGAATTTATAACATGTAGACAAAGTGGAGATCGAACTCATAATGTTTATGATATACTTCTATGGGATTGAACTAATATCACCAAAGAAAATACAACGACACAACTCTTTTTTTCTTTTTCTTTTTCCGTCTATAAACAACTATTTATAAAATGGTTACGTATATATAACAACAAAAATGCGATATAAGTATTTATAACGATGTAGGTGGTCGTTACCCGACCAACTTAAATTCATTTCTCGAGTTTTGTGGAGCATAGCATGCATATTATTTCTTCAATAAATTAAGAAAGCGAAAACAAAAACAGTTGACATTTATTTTATTTGAGTTAATCAACTCACTATAATATCATCGTCGATGTCTTTTATGACTGCAGAAAATGGTTTAGCATGCATATTTATTTTACGTTAAACAAAAAATTTCAATTTCGTATACATATGTGTGTATACGTAAATGTTACAAAGAAAGTTTTTTTGTATTTTAGAATAATAAAGGATAATAAATACAGTATTAATTTGTATTCTTTGAACTAAAAGTATAATTGAGGTTATGAAGATAAGTCAAACTTGGAGAGCTTTCAGTTAACGCAAGAAAGGTTCATAAAACAGATTATGAAATCTTCAGAATAATAATTTGAACAAAAATGTACTGAGAACTTTTATATTATATATTATACTAATAAAATAATATTAATAATTAATATTAAACAATACATTTATTAGATTAAAGTATATTTTAAAAACTTTTGTATTTATATGTGGGTATAATTAAAATAAAATAATATTCTTCATTAATATTTTTTTGAAATTATTAGATTTCATTATTATCTAATTTATTTACTGATAAAAAATTTCCTTGATTATTTTTTTCCCATGCAATATGCATATTTGAATTCGGATATTGCCACACGTCGACACTAGCTAGTACAATCACTATTGCATTCAGTTGAAATCTTCTTCTATGACGTTATTACATCTATATATATGTAAAAGAGATCTGTATTGGCAAATAAATTAGCCATATTGATATTATTAGTCAATATTCATGCATTATTGATACTAGATATCATCTATCCACCCGGCCAAGTGGGATGTTTTAGAAACAAAAACAACTGTGAATTAATAATAATGCATGAATTGACCATGATTCTATACTATCTTTCATTTCAGTATGAAATACCTTTTAGTCAACATATTGTTCTCTTTACAAATTAATCTAATATTGCAAGATAAGAGAGAGGTTAATCAAACAGGGGAAAAATCCATAATCCATGAACTAAACAATTTTCTGCGGATATTATTCTCTTTTTATATAAAATCATTCCAATAATGCCGAAATTATTTTAGGAGATCTAAATGAAATTAAATGTCTAGAGTTATATCACTCCCTAGTCAAGAATACTACAAAAGTCAATACCATTCTCGACGATGACTCGTTGACTTATTTAATAAAAATTGATATTTTCTTCTGTTAAATGAAAATTTTAACATATGTAAAAGTGAGTATGCGTGTGGGTCTATATAAATACATGAGAGTTAATCGTGTGAATACAACCATTACAATTGTGTGACTATCATTTAAAGCATAAAGCAAACACATGATCCAAATTTCAAAGTAAAGGATAGGGATACATACGACACACACGAAAAAAACAATCAAAGCAAAAAAATGGGTTTCTCTCCATCTTCTTCATGGTTTCTTGATCCTCAGCTTCATCATTTTGTTTCCAAGATGTCTGTCTTCGATGCCTTTTTGTTCTATGTAAGTACATATCTCTCCATCTCTCTCGAAGAAGAAGAATATATGCTTTCTTCTCTCTTTATCATATTATTGGTTAGTAAATCTTTATAATTATTATTTTTGTTAATTTGATGTTTTTTTTTGTTTCCAATGATTACATATATGTATAGATTGTGCACTTAGTGGACAAGTTAGATTTGTGGCATAGATTTCCAGTGTTATTGGGAGTGGCTTACTTGGGGATGCGAAGACATCTGCATCAACGTTACAATCTGGTACATGTCGGTGGGATCAACGGTCAGAGTTACGATACCGATGAGTTCTGTTATCGTACGGCTGATGGCAAGTGTAATCATCCCTCCGACGACTCCATCGGCAGTCAAGGCAGCTTTATCGGTCGGAATATGCCTCCCTCTACTTCTCAGTACGGCGTAAGTTTTTTATTTTTTATTTTTTTGGTCTCCTCTATGATCAGTTGATCACTGTAATTTTGCTTAATTTTTAAATTTAAAATTGAATTGATAATATGGCAAAAAATATAATGAAAAAAAAATAGTAGACGAATGAAACACTAGATTGTGAGGTGTTTCTTTTTAATCTGTGAACTGGTGGTGGAAATCGTCATGTATATATGATATTCTTTTGTTTTGATTTTTCTTTTTGTCGGCTTTTGTTTTGATTTCTAGTGTTTATTTTTTTCGTGAATATTCTTCTTTTAAAAAAAAAAAAAAAATCTTGAGAAACAAAAGTGTTTGAGATTTTTCTTATTGTGTCATGGGCACTTCATGAGAGCCATTCTAATTGTTCTTTTCTTCTTTTGCAAATTAGTGTTTTCATCTACGAAATTAGTATTTTGTTTGTTATCGGATTACTAATTTATAGAATTATAAAATATTAAGAAAATATATGGCTTTGTATGATGACAGATTTTGGATCCACATCCAAGTGTGGTGGCGACAAAGTTGTTAGCAAGAAAGAGATTCATAGACAATGGGGACCAATTTAACATGATAGCTTGTTCTTGGATCCAGTTCATGATCCATGATTGGGTTGATCACTTGGAAGACACCGACCAGGTTTTAACTCTTTTGAACCTCAAACCTTTCTTCCCCCATACTTTGGAGTATCTACTAACTAGATTCTTTAATCAACCAGATTGAGCTTGAAGCTCCAGAAGAAGTAGCTAGTGGATGTCCATTAAAGTCCTTTAAGTTCCTCAAAACGAAGAAAGTTCCCACCGATGATCACCACAAATCTGGCGCTGTCAACACTAGAACCCCTTGGTGGTATGTATTTCAGTCATGATCATTGCTTAGTTGTCATCCGAGTTCAGTTTTATAAATAATATTCTGGGGATAGGGATGGGAGTGTAGTATATGGAAATGACGAGGCCGGAATGAGAAGAGTTAGGGTTTTCAAGGACGGAAAGCTAAAGATCTCGGGTGATGGCTTGTTGGAGCTGGACGAAAGAGGTGTTCCTATCTCCGGTGATATAAGAAACAGCTGGTCAGGTTTCTCTCTGTTGCAAGCTCTCTTTGTCAAAGAACACAACGCCGTCTGTGACATGCTCAAAGTAAGTCTCTAAATTGATCATGTTAGTCCCTTGTTTGTGTTGCAAGCAACCTCTCTGTTTTTGCTCCATATCATACTAAAGTTTTAACCGTCTTTCAGGAACGGTATCCAGAGTTTGATGATGAGAAACTGTACCGGACTGCTAGACTGGTGACTGCAGCGGTGATCGCCAAGGTTCATACAATCGATTGGACAATAGAACTCTTAAAGACAGACACACTCACTGCCGGAATGAGGATCAATTGGTATGGTTTTTTAGGGAAGAAAGTGAAGGACATGGTTGGAGCAAGATTTGGTCCGATACTTAGCGGATTAGTTGGTCTGAAGAAACCGAAAGATCATGGAGTTCCGTATTCCCTTACCGAAGAGTTCGTTAGTGTTTACAGGATGCATTGTCTTCTACCAGACACACTTATCCTCCGAGATATGAAATCTGAGAATGTAGACAAATCAAACCCTGCAATAGAACGAGAGTAAGATATAGACTTTTTGGGAAAATTCTTAGGCCTACCAAAGCTCGTTTTTGTTGACCTATAAAGATGCTTTGAACAGGATACCAATGACAGAACTGATCGGGAAAGCAGGAGGAAAAGCCGGTTCGAGAATCGGGTTCGAGCAGTTACTGGTTTCAATGGGACACCAATCTTGTGGTGCATTGACATTGTGGAATTACCCTAATTGGATGAGAAACCTTGTGGCTCAAGATATCGACGGAGAAGATAGACCTCACCTTATTGATATGGCTGCCTTGGAGAGTAAGTCAAATTCAATGTTTCTAACTTCTAGATCACCAATTCTCTTGACCAGTTGATTGAAAAAAATCCACCTTATATCACCAATTGATTTGATTTGATATTTTCTCAGTTTATAGAGATAGGGAAAGAGGAGTCCCTCGATACAACGAATTCAGAAAGAATCTGTTGATGAGTCCGATTAGTAAATGGGAAGATTTGACGGATGATTACGAAGCTATCGAGGTTTTAAGAGAAGTGTATGGAGATGATATAGAGAAGCTTGACTTAAACGTGGGATTGCACGCAGAGAAGAAGATCAAAGGATTCGCCATTAGTGAAACTGCTTTCTTCATCTTCCTCCTCGTCGCCTCCAGGTTCTTAAATTTTTAAAAATCGATCACTACATTTATTTAAAACAGAGTATTTTTCTTGCGAAACAAGAAACTTACTTGACTTGGGACATTAATTAGGAGGCTTGAAGCAGATCGTTTTTTCACAACGAACTTCAACGAGAAGACGTATACTAAAGAAGGATTAGAGTGGGTCAACACTACAGAGACTTTAAAGGATGTAATAGACCGACACTTCCCGAGCTTAACCAAGCAATGGATGCGATGTTCGAGCGCCTTCTCTGTCTGGGGCTCGGATCCTAACCCAGCTACTTGGGTTCCTTTGTACCTCCGAACCGCTCCATAGGCCAATGGCCATAGCCGTCGGATATCACGTTGCACATGTATATTAGTGTCACGTGGTTCCTTGGTATATTTTTGGGGTGCACTGGAATTGTGTACAATGGTACATATGGCATAATCATATTAGTGGAAGAGGTTTAGACGTTAGTGTCTTTGGTTCAATAAAACGATTACCCCAATTTCTCCTAATTTCTGAACTTTCTTTATTTTCATTTCCACACTCAGAAATTACGAATGTTCAATCTGAAAGCTTATGTGAATAGGATTAAGAAGTAACATAACGTTTTAGCCGGCGATTTATACATGATTGGGAGATTAGTTCGAATTTTGATCATAATCTATCCCTGTTCCAAAATAAATTACATCAGTAACCAAGTGTTATATCATCTTTTCATGTTCCCTCAAAGTATTAAATACAACAATCAAGCCTAAACCCCGAGTGAGAGTGAGAAACCACACGTGTGCTTCTACCACTCTGTAAAAAGGGGCAAAACATAAATTAAACAAGGGAAAAAAAAATATATTAAGAATTGTGTAGAGATGCAACTTTCACAGCCATCTCAGCAACAGAATCATCTTGTTCCTCTGCTATGGGATCCTGCAAGATAACACAACAGCACTTAAGTATCTCGCACAAAAACGTTAGGTTACAAACATTCATGCATCTAAAGAAATGGGGTTTTGTTTTTATTTACCTCAATGTTGGCTTTAGATTGAACACCTATGCATTTAGATCCACTGATGCTAGAGCTTTTCATCAGGTTACGCGCACTATAGCCTCCTCCATCGTCTGTACCTTCTGGCTGTTGTGAAGCTTTGGGACTATCTAAGGTTGAAGCTACAGCAGCTGATGTTCTTCTCTCGATATCATTGCTGCTTTCTTCAACTGTTTCATTTTTGGTTGTAGGAACTCGCTCTCTGAAATGCAATATAAGAACATCAATAAATACTGGCTGGAATTCTGAAAAGACCACCACTTGATGCAGAGACGATAAATTTGATATATATATTTTTTATATGTTTGTACCTTGGTAAGGAAGCATGCTGTCTCTGAAGTGCGTTACTTCTTCCTCCCTGACCTTGATTTTCTTCGAGATGAGCAAACTGCCTCCTAAATCGATCTACCCCACTGCATCAGAAAAGATACTTCTCTCAGCCAAGTTTCTTGAAACTAGAACAAGTAGTAACTTGTACACTAGCCTATTTCATTCCTCCAAAATCAACATTTTAATCTAAAAACCTAAGATGCAAGCATTTCACAGCAATCAACAAACGATGCTCTAAGATGAGTGATCACTAAGACTCCTGATTAAGCACCGATCACCTAAAATCCTAGAAAGTCATTGCAGAAAAATCAACATACTGGGTGGTTCCCTTTCATATTAGCTTGAGAATGTATATTAGATCAATTAGCCAACCTGGGGTACATGAAGCTGAGCTGATTGTCACCACGAAGGTATTCCTCCAGCATCTGAGGATGATATTCTAATATCTATGTTTTTTAAGTATCCATTAGAATCACGAAGAGAAAGAGAAGCAAAACCAAAGAAGAGGTGTAGAAGGCTCATCACCTCTCGGTAAATTAACTCTCTGATATCATCTGTTGTCAATTTCTTTCTCTCAAACTCAAATTCAAGCTTTGAAATCGGCTTTGTTGATGGTTCCCGCTCTGAACTTGACAGACCACTGAAGTATGGATCAGCTAATGCCTGTAGATACAAACATAAGATATTAAAACAGTAAACATAGAAATTTTGCATCATCCTCCAGGTTTTGCCTTGACCTTCCTATAGTACTGCCTCATGTACGAATGCACATACAGATTCTGGTTCCGCAAATATAGAGCAATAGAGAAAAAAGTACTTGAGCTTACTTCTTCAGCAGATGGACGATCTTTTGGATCAAAGGCAATCAGGCGTTCCAAAAGGCGGAGGGCCGAAGGATCTGCTTTAGGGAATTTTTTAGAGAATGGCACTGGCTGTTTTTTCCTCATGTTGCCAAGATATCTCCTCGCCTTATCATTCCTGATCTGTCAATTTGAGATAGCATATTCATTTATAATGCAACTCAAGATTACTTGCACAGAAGAAAGGAGAGCTATTTTTCAAACTTCTAATCAAATCAGAAGCACAAAACAAGCATCTCAAATAGTATAACTAACCTTTGATATTGCTTCTGGAGATGGAGTGCCAAGGAAATCAGTCATTATATCCAATTGGTGAACCACGTTTTTTCCAGGAAACAACGGCTTCCCTAAAAGCATTTCGGCAAATATGCAACCAACACTCCAAATATCAATCGCAGGGGTATACTGGATTTAGCAAAAGTAGAGTTAGCATGAGTTCTGTAATTAAGCCTGAAGCAGGCCATTACACAAAATTAAACTCAACATGCATACATCAGATCAAGAAAAAAAATATAGCCAACAAAAAAAAATAAAAAACAGTAACACATCATCCTGCATCAGCAACATGGAATCAACAGAGTTCTTTTGTTGAGAATTATCAGCTTACTTTGGAGAAAAAGGATCCACAGAGTTCAGGGGCACGATACCACCGAGTAGCAACATAATCCTATAGTTAAAAAAATTAGTAAGAGTGAGTACACAAGCACTAAAAGAGAATGGTTCCCTCTAATGCAACTTAAGCATAAGGAAAAGACTGCTCTCACAGTGTAGGTGATAAATGACTCACAGTCCAAAAGATAGCAGTAGGGGCATCATTAAAGGACACACGAGCTAGCCCAAAATCACAAATCTTCAATTTGCAATCAGCATTAGCAAGAATGTTCTTCGGTTTCAAATCCCGATGAAACACATTCGCTGCAAAACAGAGACATAGCTGTTTTCACTAACCTTATCCTAACACAAGTGAAAAAGAGAGAGTAAAAATGAGGAAACTAACCAGCATGAACATACTTCAAACCACGGAGAAGCTGATACAAGAAAAACTGATGATGCTCAGGAGTTAAATCATCATTAGCTTTAATAACCTGATGAAGATCAGATTCCATCAACTCAAAGACAACATAAACATCTCGAAACTCTCTTCGAGAAGGAGGAAGCATGATATGTTTGATCTCCACAACATCTGGATGAAGAAGCAGCCGCAACAACTTAATCTCCCTGAGAATCCTAGTCGCATCAGAGATATGATCAAAGACATCGTTGATCTTCTTGATGGCAACTCTTTCTCCAGTGTGAGTATCTATAGCAGAACCAACAACTCCATAGCTTCCTTTTCCAACAACTTCTTGAATCTGATACCTATTTGCTTCTCCATACTCGGTGAAGAATTCAGCACTAGGTATCATCTGAAACATAACCAGATTTTTATTTATCAATTCAATCGAATCAGATTCAAACAGCAGTCTCAACATTGCTTAAAGGAAATCAAAAAATCACAAAGCAAGCACGAATCAATCTACCTTCTTCTCCATAGGTAAGTGATTTCGTTTTGGAACCTTGATCTGCCTTAGCTTAGAGGGATCGAAATCTTCAATAACAGTAAGTTTCTTCAAATCTCCGTCGTTGTTGTTGTCCTCGTCCGGATTAGAAGAAACGGTGGGAGGATTTTGAATCTGATCGTGATGAGTACTGGAAGAAGAAGAAGAAGAAGAAGGACGACGTTGAAAAAAAAGCCAACGACGAACACCGTCGACGAGATTGCCACCACCACCCATCGAATTAGAGAGGCTAATAATAATAATAAACCACAGATCTTTGTTTGGGTGGGGATTTCAGATTTTACTCTCAACCAAGCGTTCTTCGTCAATGATTCCACATTATTCGCTGATTTTATATATATTTTTTTATTTTTTCCGACCGAGGAGGAGTTGAAAACATGTTCTTCTTCTTCTCTGCTGTTTTGTTTTTTTTGGTCAGTTTTATTTTCATTTTTAATTTTTTATGTATTTTACTATTTGTTCGAGAGTTGAAATCTGCGAGAGAGAGAGAGAGAGAAACGCGCGCAGGAGAAGTCAAATTAGTGACCAAATTTTGGTTTTGATTTATGGCTTAAATACTCGGTTATCTTAACCGGCCTACTGATTGTGACACCAACTTTTTTGGCGTTCGCATGTGCTAACTTAATGGGCCTTTTACTTTTAGCCTTTTCGATACGGACGCCAGCGAAAGATTCAAAACGTTGATATCTCTCTTTATCTTTTCTATACAGTTTGAGTACACTATTACATTTTAGTCGACACTGATTATACTCAAAACAATAATCGCATTAATTATCATTCTATCATCTATGCATGAATGTATATGATATCGATCTCATGCAAGACCCAAACTAGCTAGTGGATTAGTGGGAAGGCTTTAAGAGTACATAGACCCACGATTTACGATAGGTGTGAGACGACTGAGGTCAACGGGTCGAGGTCGGCGACTTGTTTGTGGTTCCGACCAAGACGTAAACTAGATTCTCACTACAAAAAAATGACTATATTGTATCACTTAAATTGTATCACAAATTTAAGTGATCTTATTTTAAATTACTTTTAAATAAATGAAGCAAATATAAATAATTTAACATCAATTACATTACTGATGCTAATATTAACTAATTTTCATCAATTATTTAAAACTGATTCAATTTCCAGTAGATTGTATCACTTTAAAAAAAATTGATGTAAAATACATATTTACATCATTTAGATAATTGATGTATGTATTTTTTTTGATAAAATCGATTTTTTAAATGATACAAAATTAACATCATAAAAATGTGATGCTAAAATAAATTATATTAATAGCATCAATAAATTATATATATTTTTAGAAAAACGAGGTAATTAGAAAAAAAAATTCATAAATTAAGATAATATAATTTTATTTAAAATATTACTTTTCGAAATATTTTTTTGTTTTCATAATATTTTAATTTACTATTGTGTTCTATATTTTAAATGTCAAAAATGATTTTTACTTTTTCTCTAAAGTCCTCATCTTTTATTTATTATTTTCTTCAATTATGTTTGATAAACTCTTTTATTAAAAATAAAATAAAAAATCAAAATATCACCAACTAACCCACGATCTCTAAATATCAGAGAACTCTTTTTATGTATAAATATTTTCTAAAACGTTTCTCTCCATTTCACAAAACACAAACAAAAAATATGAAAATCATCACACGACAAAAACTCTTCTCTGAGAATTTTCAAAGAAGTTTTTCTTTCCAACCATACAACTCCAGGTGAATCAAGTTATATACAGATTTACATTTCTAGAAAATCATATCGATAAGTTCATCTTCTAAACTCTTTCTTCTTCTTCTTTTTCTCATTGTGTGTTTATTGGTTTTCACACTTAAGAAATTCTTGCGGTGAAGAAGGACAAAGATACTCTAAAGCAAGAGTTTTTTTAGAGGAAGAAGATTTGAAGTTTTTTTTAGAGGAAGAACTGAAATTTCTTAGAAGAAAGAATAATTAACAAAGGAAGAAGCATGGAGCAAAGGAAGATTGATTATTCATGTGTTTAGACGTGAGAAACCAAAACCCAATTGTAATACTTTTTTTTAATAAAGATTTGATTATTCATGTGATATATTTGATTAGATTTTTAGTAGATATATTGTAACAAGATTTTGAGAGAAAATATCCACCATAATTTTGCTATATATTAGGAAAAATAACAAACGAAAAAATAATTAGTAAATGTATTAAAATAATTAATATTTTAATTTAATAATTATTATTTCGTAATTAAGTATATTATTTCGTAATTAATAATTATATTTTTAAATTAATTATATTAGTTTGTTTGAAATTGATATATAATATATATATATATATAATTAACATCGATTATGATAACCGACACAAATAATAACATCACTTTTACAAATTGATAGGAAATATAGTATCATTTTTGAAAATTGACTCATTATTAATATCAGTTATAAGAACTGATACAATTTTTCTTTTTTGCATCAGTTGATTAAAAACCGATGTGAATTATTTGCATCGGCAATATAAGTATCACTTTTATAAGTGATTTAAAATTTCATTGTATCACTTATAAGTAATGTAAAGTTACAAAATAAATGATTCAATCCACTCATTTTTTTGTAGTGTCTTAATACACGTGTCTCTGTTTCTTTCCTTGCATCGTCGTCTTTCTGACATAATTTTATCCAAAAATTGAATATTCAAAGGATAAGTTACATGTATGTATGCTATTGTTTGGTCACCATGTATTCTTTTATTTTATTTTATTAACTTATGTCACACGAAGCAATAGTCAAACCTTATAGAGTGTATCACACCCCCATAAAAGTTTCGATGCTCAAAACATAGTTAAAACTTAAGTCTTAAAACCATGCGACTGAAGAGGCAAATCAAATAATTAGATGAACATGTTAATAGAATAATATGTATAGGTGGTGGTTAATATTGTTTATGAGCTGGGAGACTCTATAATATATGAAGATCGGCGTATGAAAGATATGTATATGCACCTTGGCCTTAGTAATATGATAAGCTTCTCACAAATATAAAAGATATATGAAGAAATCAGACCATTAAATTTGTTTCCACGTATCAATCTCTGATAAAATTGATTTTGAAAGGAAAAATAAAAAAAAACTATCTTTGAGTTATATGTGTACTGAACTAGTGACGTCCTAATTAAACTCTTAAAGTACCATGCATAAATATATACATTATTAACTAATTATAACACATTAGCTAGATTGTTAATTAATGGTTTAACGTTTTCTTAACAAAGGGAAAAAAAGAAGAAGAAAAAAGTGATAGGTGGAGAAGTGGTCCCCAGCACCAAAAAATGTGTGGCTGTCACCCAATTAGAATGCACCAAATTCTTTAATTAAACTCAATAAAGAGACTATAAAATAATTGTATTTTTTCTGATTGGATAACAATGACGTAGCATGCGTCATCTAACTAGACTTTGCGCGTTTTTTTAAAAAATTAATTCCACGCAAACGAATGTTCTATTACGGGTTTGTGTTTTTTCTTTTTACCTTTTAATATTTTGGGTTATTGGCCTATTAAACTCTTCTTCCTACACACGCAACTACGCAAGCGTTTTAAAAACTTGTAACTTGTAAGGACAAATCTAAAGCCGCTGATCAAAAATTGAATTGTTGGCCAACTACCATTCAGCATTTACATTCTCCCAATCGCTTTCCTTTGTTTTCTACTATCAAATACATATATCCTTTCTTAAAATAATTGAAACTGTCATTGTCATTATTGCAAAAAGTAGATAACTTATTTAAGTATGTTCATACATTTGAAGCTGGGGGGATGTATATATATCATATACATCATGGTATTAATTACTAATCAGTGTTACATTTTTTATGGTATCTATCGTTCCAGTATATATATATATATATATATCGTTCCAGCAACAAAATTGAAAGTTATAAAATGAAAATTACAGCAAAATCAATTTCTCAGAACATAACCATCTATGTTGGAAAAAATTTGCACACGACTTAATAAGTTACTTATTATAGAGTGACGTCAAAAAAGTTACTATAAATGTATGGTTTCTGAACCTCACAACCGTGTGGACACTATAGAGTTCAATGGGAAAAATAGTAATAATATAATAAAAGTGGACGTTAGGTCGACTGACTATTGGAGGATTACAGGCTCACAGCTCACTCCGTCCAAACGGGGGATACAATGATTACCTATTTACATAAATCATACATGCATACGTGTGGCTGTCCATATTTTGGCATTTACGTTTCTATTTTATTTCAATTTTTTTTTTGTCGTGAGTTGCAACCACTTTAGATACTATTAATTAATCTTATATTTATATAGATCGATCATCGATAGGTTGAATGATCGAAGAGATAACGAACTGAGATCACCTGTATTTTGTTATTATGTAAAGTTCACCGGATCATTCAGTTAATCACGTACGTGCCTAGTAGCTAGAGTTATCTTTTCATGGGGAAATATTCAGTTTAATTCTTATTTGTCTTCCTTTTAGAATTGACAGCTTTAATTCATAAACAATCAGCTAAATCCTTGTCTTTCTCAAAATAGAAAGTTATTGGTCTTAATTGCTCTGACATTAAAACTTATTCTTTTATTCCCAAAAGAGATACTAAGATCCAAACGATAATACTATTTTTGTCTTTCAATGGAAAAATACAGTGACAAAATATGACCAAAGCACACTAAACAAAAAGAGATAAATAAATTTACACACAATATATGTCTCTAGTTTTCTAATTGATTCATACAATTGATAAACTTTGGTCACTAAAAAAACAAGAGTTTCGAAGATCTCGTATTCATGATAGAAACGAAACTTTATATGAATCTATACTATTAGTCTCGGATATCAGAAAATTTAGGTTTCGATATGAGTTCTACTTTCTAGTTTCGGACATCATAAAACTTTGGACTTCGATAAACATTCTATTTTAAGTTTCGGATATCGGGAAGTTTGGACTTCAATGTAAATTATATATTATAGTCTCGGATTTCAGAAAGGTTGGGCTTCGATATGAATTCTATTTCACAATCTCAAACATCGGAAAGTTTGGGCTTCGATATGACTTATACAGTATTTTATAGTTTTGAGCATCGGAAAATTTGGGCTTCGATTAGTTTCGGACATCGGAAAATTGAGATTTCGGCCCAAATTTTCCGTAGAAACAATTAAGTACTTGCAATATTCTCTCAAAGAATTATATATACAAAAATTAAAAGCACTTTTAATGAAAAATAAAGAGGTGTGGATTCTATGCAATATCAAGAAACAAAAGAAAAGGTAACCGTTTAAAACGCCTCAATTGACGTCAAGTCTGTCTTGATGCAAATGAATTATGTTGTGATAAAAATCTTTTTCGTCTCCATCTCTCCTTCTTAGTTCACGCACTAAGCTTAGTGAAAAAGATACGCCTTTATCCATTTTTTGCATGTCACAGTAACTCTCTCTCCTCTTTCAATTCTCTCGCAAACCCCAGAAAAACACACACAAAAAAACAAAACTTTGTTTTCTTCTAGAGAAGAGGAGCCACTCTCTCCACTTCTTTCTTTGTCCAACTTTACAGACAGAGAGAAAGTGGCGTAAGAGAGAGAGAAATACAAGTTGGTGAAGGTGAGAATTTGCGGTTCATATCAGTACGGAGAAATTTGTCAGTTATATTATGCTTTTTTTTTCCTTCTTTTATCTGCTTTAAGTTTTCTCATGTGAGTGGGTTTGTGCTTTTAACTATTTTCATGATTTATCAAAATCAGAAAGAGTGGATGCAAAAAATTCCCCCAAGTGTTTTTAGCATCTGAGGTTCACTACCTCTAGCTCTCTCCAAATTTTGCTGTTTGAATTCTTCAGTTTTGAAATCCAGACAAAGGGTTTTTGGTTGAATCCTTTGTTCTGGTGAAAGTTTCAAACTTTGCTCATAAAAAATATCTGATGAGTCGTTGATATCAAATTCCAGGGAGGATTTAGGGTTTATGAGAGTAAAGGAAGACACTTTTGGAATTGGGAGGTGGAGATGTTTTAAGAATCGTTGATCATTGCTGTATAACATTAGGAGTATGAAGATGAACATGAAGAGCTTTCTTAAGAAACTTCATATCATGCCGAATCAATCAGATGAAGCTGAAGGGTCAATTTCGTCAACAGCTAAGAGCAATCATAACAAGTCTAGCGATGTGTCATCGTCACCGAGGTCTCACCACAGCAATAGCCCTGAAGTCAAACCCTTTTCTAGTTTATCGAATTGGTTAAGCTCTGTTGGTCATAGAAAAAGCCCCAGTCCACCAAATTCTTTCAATGCCAAGAACAGAGCCGCCGTGGCTAATAACAAAGGTGATGCTCATGTTGTTGTTACTGGGTCGGAACGTGTAGACCTGCAGGATCCAGCGGTTGAAGAAGAGAATCAGATACAGCTGGCTTTAGAGCTAAGTGCCAGAGAGGATCCTGAAGCTGCTCAGATTGAAGCTATTAAGCAATTCAGTTTAGGCTCTTGTGCTCCTGAGAACTCTCCAGCCGAACTCATTGCTTATCGATACTGGGTAAGCATTCTATTCATTTGTAACTAATTACCTCTGCATTACATAAGCTCTTTAACTACTCCCAGGAACTCTCTAATTACTCCATCAGTCCTCTATAGATTAGAATTATAAATTAGAATCCACCTCATTTGCTCATTTTCTTTTTACAAGCTTATATTATAATTTGTTTTTGTTTGCATATACAGAATTACAACTGTCTTGGCTATGACGACACGATCTTGGATGGTTTTTATGATTTGTATGGGGTGTTGAATGCATCCTCATCAGAAAGAATACCTCCTTTACTCGATCTTCAAGGGACGCCTGTTTCAGATGGTGTGACATGGGAAGCTGTTCTTGTGAACAGAAGTGGGGATTCTAATCTGTTGAGACTTGAACATATGGCTCTTGACATTGCCGCAAAATCAAAATCAGTTTCTTCCTCTGGTTTTGTCAACAGTGAACTGGTAAGGAAACTAGCTGTTTTAGTTGGAGATTACATGGGTGGACCAGTCGTGCACCCTGATAGCATGTTGAGAGCTTGGAAGGGTCTTAGCTACAGTTTGAAAGCAACTCTTGGAAGCATGGTTTTGCCACTTGGTTCTCTAACTATTGGATTGGCTCGTCACCGTGCCTTGCTATTCAAAGTATGCACTTCGTAAGCTTATTGTTTTCCACTGAAATGCCCTTTTTTAACTTTTAGGTTTATTTCATTTCTTATGTCTCATTCTTTATATGAAATTTTGTAGGTTTTGTGTGATACTGTTGGCGTTCCTTGTCGGATAGTCAAGGGACAGCAATATACCGGTTCTGAAGATGTGGCAATGAACTTTATTAAGGCTGATGATGGCAGGTAATAATCACACTAATGTGTATTAACATTCTACTATCATTCATGTATAGGTTTATGTACTCAAATAAAATGTCAAGTAGATGTGCTATGTCTAAGTTGGAATATGTACCTATGTCTATATGGACTTGGTACGTTAGCTGCATTTCCTAAAGCTAAACTGAGGCTTGATGAAAGACTTTAAGTTATATGCAATACAATTGTGAATTTCAGGGAGTACATTGTTGATCTCATGGGAGATCCTGGCACGCTTATTCCAGCAGATGCAGCTGGACTACAAATAGACTACGATGAATCAACATATTCTGCTAGTCTTGGAGACAGTGATTCATTTCAAGTAGCTTCTTCCAGCAATGGGATTGAGAGCTCAACTGAAGAGAATGCAGAGCTTCCAGCTGGGGAACATCGTGCTAGTACCAAGAGTTACAGGGAGAGATATCAATCCGGAGGTAAAGGCGATCTCATTGTTCAACTAAATATATCTAGGGAAGATGTTAAAAATCAGAGGAATGTTGAAAAAGATCCAATTCAAAACCTCTCAAGCAGGCCTAATCATTCTTTTACCCATATGAGATCACCTTCATGGACTGAAGGTGTTAGCTCCCCAGCTGCACAGAGGATGAAAGTCAAAGATGTTTCACAATATATGATTGATGCTGCCAAAGAGAATCCACGGTTAGCTCAGAAGCTTCATGATGTATTACTTGAAAGCGGAGTTGTAGCTCCCCCCAATTTATTTTCCGAAGTCTATCCCCAGCAATTGGAGGCAACTGTTGAAAGAGAAACCTCAACTGAAGCCAAAAAAGAGAAAGGAAAAGATTTAGAGACAGCTCAGCAAGGAAGACAGCAAAATGATTATGGTCTGGTGCGGTTTTTGCCTCCATTACCAAGAGTGCAATCTAAAGCAAATACACACGATCAGCGTGATAATGGCAAAGTTGTAAGTCAGTCTGATTCTTCACATTCTGAAGCATCTTCGACAGAATATGTGAGGACCGTTCCTGCTGCTGTAGCTGCAGCGGCTGTTGTTGCATCTTCAATGGTTGCTGCTGCTGCTGCCAAGTCTGCAAACTCCACCGTAGAACTCCCTGCTGCAGCTGCTGCCACAGCAACTGCTGCTGCAGTTGTGGCAACAGCTGCAGCCGTGTCCAGGCAATTTGAATTAGGCTCGAATAGCGATGGGGATGCTGGTTCTGGTGGAAATGAGCCTCAGGGTAGTGGGGAATCTAATCATGGGACGAATTCAGGGGAGGAAAGAATATCTGACAGATCTATTGGCAATGAAAGTTCCAAGTCAGACTGTGATGATGTATCTGACTGTGAGATTTTGTGGGAAGATATTACTTTGGGAGAACGTATTGGACTTGGTACCTGACTTATCATCATCTGTTATTTGCTTTGGTGTAACTACATCTACAATGAGTGAATGAATTAAATAGTTTACCGCTTTTGATACAGGATCATATGGAGAAGTGTATCGGGGAGATTGGCACGGGACTGTGAGTATTATATTTGCTTTTCCAATTTGTACTGTTAATTATACTTCATGGAATTTTATAGCCATTAAGCTTAACTGGAAAAAGAAAGAGTTTAGCAATTACTTAGTTTGAGTTCCATGTTGTTGAAATTTTTGAACCTGCTAGGAAGTTGCTGTGAAGAAGTTCCTTGATCAAGATTTAACAGGAGAAGCATTGGAGGAATTCAGAAGTGAGGTACGAGCCTTTCTTCTAACCTTTCCCTTTTCCTGATTTTTCCATGTTGATAATTTTATATCAAAACCCATCTTATGTATTCTTGACATTGTGATGCAAGGTCCGAATCATGAAAAAGCTTAGACATCCTAACATTGTTCTCTTCATGGGAGCTGTAACTCGTCCACCGAATCTCTCAATTGTTACAGAGTTTCTTCCTAGGTAATACTATTCTCATGCCTCTGTAACTATCATTTTGAAATAAACTATTTTATGACCTCTAAATGCCAAAATCTCATCAATGAGTGTTGTTCAATTATTTGCTTGAAAGTTCTTAAATATGGATGGTTTGAACAGGTTCAATTCGGTTGTGCTTTGTTTTCGGATCTTTACAGTACAGTTTTATTTCCAAACTTGTGCAGAGGTAGCTTGTATAGGTTAATCCACCGGCCAAATAACCAATTAGACGAGAGGAGACGTCTGAGAATGGCCCTTGATGCTGTATACTCTTTTCTTCTTCTATCTCTATCACCTGTTTGTAACTTTTATTCTTTTAGTAGAGTTTTGAGTAATACTTGTTAAAAATTCAGGCTCGTGGAATGAACTATTTGCACAGCTGTAGTCCGATGGTTGTCCATCGCGATCTAAAGTCTCCAAACCTTCTAGTTGACAAAAACTGGGTCGTGAAGGTCAGCATTCTCTACATAGAATTTATGGTGTCTTACCAATTGGATAATGTTTGTTTGCATAACAAATCATGTATTTTCATATCTATCAGGTGTGTGATTTCGGGTTGTCCAGGATGAAACACAGTACATACCTCTCTTCAAAGTCAACAGCAGGCACGGTAAGCTGCTCGAAGGAAGTTACCATCTCCCCTATCTTAATCATCTCTCTTTACAGTTATCGTAATTGTGAGTTTGTAAATCTAATTATGTGTTGGTCTTACACAGGCTGAATGGATGGCTCCAGAAGTGCTTAGAAACGAACCTGCTGATGAGAAGTATGCTCTTTGCTCTTTTGTTAATGAATATTCTTTATGTTCCCTTTTTTAAGGAACATGCCTAATGTCAGGAACAAAAAACAATACGTGAAACAGGTGCGATGTGTACAGCTACGGTGTGATTTTATGGGAACTATTTACGTTACAGCAACCATGGGGAAAGATGAACGCGATGCAAGTCGTTGGGGCAGTTGGTTTTCAGCATCGACGTCTTGACATCCCGGACTTTGTGGATCCAGCAATTGCAGATATCATCAGTAAATGCTGGCAAACGTGAGTACCAATATACATATACATTAATTTTCACCGTTTCAGACTTTCAGCCAAATGTGAAATAGTAGTAGTAGACTAGTAGTGCTAGTAGTTGTGTTACACCACAGCAAAACAGAATCTTGAATATTTGATGGCGTATAGTTCATCAACCTTAAACAATGGGATTCACTAAGCTGTCTTGTTTTTATGATTTGACTGATACATCTAGTTATTTTTGTGTTTGAATATCAGGGATTCAAAGTTGAGGCCAAGTTTTGCAGAGATAATGGCTTCTCTAAAGCGGCTACAGAAACCTGTAACAGGTTCCAACATCCCAAGACCAGTCCCCACTTCTTCTTCTTCATTAGCTACTGAACAAGAAAAAAAAGATTGATGAAAGAAGAAAGAAGAAGACGACCATTTATAGAGGGAAACATTTTTCTGCTGTTTGAAAGAAGCCTGAAGGAAGAAAAAAGCTACAGATTTTGGCTCAGCTTCAGTGTGTGTCTCCACACATCTTGTGATTAGAGAAATCAAAAGCAAATTCATGGAAGATGAAGATTGAAGAAGGTGAGAAGGGTTATACTCGTGTGTTGTGTTGCCTTTCTTGCCATTGATGTTCATGTCCTCTGTTTTGTTTTTACAAAATTGTAACTGTACAGAGAGAGTGAGAGAGAAGGGGAAGAAAAAAAAATAATTATTTTTGCAATTATTAAAAACTCGTTGACTAAAATTATATTTTTATTTAAATATAAAGTTAGAACTCTGTCTTTATTCAAGTGCCATTCATCACACGAATAAGATAAGGTTGCTATCTTGTAATTGCTTCGATATATATGAAATCAAAATATACAGTATTTACATTTCTAAGAAAAATCTTGGAAACATGGCGACTCTCTTCACTGCGACGGTTCCTTCTCACCACCGTTTTGTCTCACCTTCTCAACACCCGAAACAGAGCCTTCCATCGCAGTCGCTAAGCGTTACTTTAATGCGGAATCCGGAACCCGCGGCGGCGTTCACATTGCAGGAACAGCAGTTGACGGATTGGATGGCTTCTCCGGTGACGCGACGGTTCGGAATCGGTGCCGGATTAACCTGGTCTGGGTTTCTAGCTTTTGGTGTTGTCTCTGAGCAGATGAAGAAGTCACCACTCGATGTGTTCCAGGAAGAAGATAGCACAAGGTTACTCATCTATAAGTCGAAATTATAGCGAAAGAATCAGGATTTGAGCTCATAGTTTGTTTTGTTATTGAATGCCATTAATTTCGTTATCATCTTCACAAACCTGAAATACTTTTTAATGTAAGTTTTGGATTTGGCAGAGGTTTAGAAAAGCAAGAAGAGATCATCTTACCAAACGGCATAAGGTACATTCCCCACTACACATGTTGATTTATGTTTCATCAAATAGAAAAGTTTTGTGAGCTTCCAGTGTAGTATTTTGTAGCATTATAGCATTTTGTATGGCTTTGACTTGACTTATCTTGATAACATTTTTGGGTGGTTCTGCTATATCTGCTCTGGAAAGTTCTCTGTATATCTTAACATTCAACACAAACTCTATCTCTTGAAACGTTCAATTTGGTTCTCATTTGATAATGGGACTTTTTCTTGTTATTGGGAAACCCCTTGTAACATTTTGAGGTGGAATGTAATGGTTCTGAATCTATAAATCTATTATACCTGCTCTTACTGAGCCTGAGACTTGATGTGTCTATTCATCATACACTCAAGCCCATGTCTTTGCAATGAACCGTGCAGGTACTATGATCTACAAGCCGGAAGTGGAGCTACTCCAAGCTCAGGATACTTGGTAGTGTTTGATGTAAAGGGACAAGTATATGGAACCGAACAAGTGTTTGTGGACACATTTGGAAGCAAAGACAAGAAGAAGTCACTAGCGATGGTAATGGACTCAAGACCATATAGCAAAGGAGTATGCGAAGGCATAGAGTACGTTCTGAGGTCAATGAAGGCTGGTGGAAAACGTAGAGTGATCATCCCACCATCCTTAGGATTTGGAAACAAGAATGTTGATTTTGGACCGGGTTTGCAGATTCCTCCATCTGCAACACTTGACTATATCATCGAGGTTGATACAGTTTATTGTTTCCAAACTATTGTATGAGATATTTTGAAGGCATATAAATGTATAAAGTTTCACACTTTTTCGTAGTTTATCCGTGTATATTCTTTGAATTAGACTTTTCTCGTGTACCAAATAAACGGCACGGTGTTTGGTTCACAGCCACAAAAATTCATCGTAGTCTCAGGCTCTCAGCCATATACACCAATGACAAGTTGTTAAAACAGACGACTTTTCCTTCTTTTTTTTATCCTCAATTTGTTTTAGTAGGAAACAATAAAAAGGATAAGGAATCGTTTCTCTTCGATCGAAAGGATTAATCTTTGGAAGTTTGCTCCGATAGAATGGGAACAGTTCTGGATTCGCATTTCCTGGCCCTCACTGCCATTGTCACTGTAAGTTCCCTGTTCGTTTTAATCTTCATTCGTCTGTTCATATTCTTGTTTCTGTGGTAGTTTGTCGGAAAATTACGAGTTGGGTTTGGTTCGTTTATGTCTGATTTGGTGTTTTTACAGATTGATGCTACACTCTGTTTTCGTAATTTTCTGTTTGCCATCATCATTTTATAGGTGGTTTACCAGTTCATATTCTTCGTAATCACAGCTCTTTTCAAATTTGATCAAGTCACTGACTTTGCTGGTACGACCATTTTCAGTCCTTTATTCCCATTTGCTCAAATATGTTGTTCCCCTTCATTCTCTGTTACGTAGGACTTCATTATACTAATTAAGCCTTGTATGTTCAGGAAGCACAAACTTCGTTATACTTGCTATCTTGACTCTTGTTCTTAAAGCCACTTGGCATTTTCGTCAGGCAAGTCTCAGGCTCTTCTTCTTTGCTCTCTCTTTTCTCATATCTTTTGTTTTGTTGTTTTGAGTTTCTTCTGTTTGCTGCTGAGCTTGTTTTCTCCTCACAGATAGTCTTGACTTTGCTAGTTGTGGTATGGGGTCTTCGCTTGGGGATATTCCTTCTCATGAGGTCTCTACCAATGATTGCATTATTCTTACTTTATTACTTTCCTGATCATAATACAGTAACATGTCTCTCTTGTTGTTTTAGGATCTTGCAATGGGGTGAAGATCGACGCTTTGATGAACAGCGTGGAAATTTAGTGAGACTAATAATTTTCTGGACTCTTCAGGTAAACTTCTTATTCTATGCATTCTCTTGTAGAGCCCCTTTGGAAGTCATGCTTGTGATCTCAAACTAGAGTTCTTGTTTCCCTTTCATGGTAGGCCGTGTGGGTTTGGTCGGTTAGCTTACCTCTAACAATTGTAAATGCAAGTGATGGTGGAGGATCTCTTAAACCCGCAGATGTTATCGGTTGGACAATGTGGGTTTTTGGTTTCTTGATTGAAGCTGCAGCTGATCAACAGAAGCTCTCTTTTAAAAACTCTCCAGAAAACAGAGGAAAATGGTGTGATGTTGGAGTGTGGAAGTACTCAAGACATCCAAACTACTTCGGAGAGGTTAGTACTTTGATATGTTTTAAGTTCTTCATCTTTGGCATACATGGTGATGATCGTTCATTATTGTGGCTTTGTGGCTTTATATGTTCATCAGATGTTATTGTGGTGGGGAATCTTTGTGGCTGCATCACCTGTCCTTGAAGGTGCAGAGTATCTTGTTATATTAGGACCAATATTTCTCACTTTGCTACTTCTATTCGTCAGCGGCATACCATTACTCGAGGTTCTCGCTCGTTCTCTCCCTCTCTATTTAGACAGTTTCTGAATTATATATGGCTGATATGTAAAAATTAAACAGGCCTCGGCTGACAAAAAACATGGAAACTCGGGAGCTTACAGATTCTACAAGAAGACAACAAGGTTTAACGATATGAACTTTCTAAAGATATCGTTTGATAAACCTTGAAATAAGCTAATTTGTTTCTATCTTCGATCAATCTTTAGCCCTCTGATACTGTTGCCGAGAGGAGTTTATGGGAACTTACCTGGATGGTGCAAGACGATCTTTCTCTTCGAGTTTCCGTTTTACAACCGAAATCTCCCTCAAGAGGTGGCTGTTTAGTAAGTGCTTACCCAATTTGAGTTTCCATCTCTTTTGCATCTTTCTCTAGTGTGTGATGAGTTCTCTTTATTGTATACGTGCAAGAAAGTTAGAGGAGACTCCAAGAACGGCAAAGAAAAAGAACTAAAAGATGGCTAACTTGTGGAAGCACTCTCTGGTGAATTTGTGTAAAATGTTAATTTTAAGAAACTGAATTTGTTTGAAGTATTGGACAAAACTTCAATTATGCAGTTATGTGTAATTGAAGCACCGAACAAAAGTAAATGAAACATATTGACAATACCGGATCTCAGTTGTGATTGGTTCATCTTATTCATGTGATTTTCATATTTAATTGATATGATTTAAAAAATTCATGTCTGTGACCAAGTCAAAATTTCAAGGACTACATGCAGCAAAGAAAAAACATCATCAAAACATTCCAAAAGCTCAATAGCGAAAAAAATACAGAAATTAATTATTTACTTGTAACAACAATTATAGGATGAAGAGCGTAACGGTTGAGTAGCAGTGACTTCGTGGATATTCACAATTTCTTTACCAACGGGAAGGACCGTACCATTACCGTTAACTTGAGCAGTCGCAACGCCGTTGGATTTATTTTCCGAAGCGATCCTCTGAGTCACAACCTCATGTATCCGTCCAATCATCACGAGAAACGCTTCTTCGACGTTAACGTTCTCTAAAGCCGAAGTCTCGAGGAAGTAAAGACCTTCTGATTCAGCTAGACTCTTACCATCATCTTCTTCAACTTCTCTAGAATGTCGGAGGTCGGATTTGTTGCCGACCAGGACAACAACGGTGTCGGGATTGGAAAAGTCTCTCAGCTCAAAAAGCCATTTCTTGATGTTTTCGAACGTTGTTCGTCTTGTGATGTCGTAAATCAGTAATGCCCCTAATGCTCCTCGGTAGTACGAACTTGTAATTGCTCTAAATCTTTACAAAGATGAGAGATTAGAATTCCATTAATTAATTCATCACTCAAACAAAAGGAAAAAATAGAAAAAAAACTCATTATCATTTATTTTAACTTCTTTTTACTAGTTTTTCTTTCCTTTATTTTGTAAACGAATATTTAAAAATTAGGTCAAAAATTAAAAGTTGAAACGAAAAGATACAAAATAAGGAACAGAGCAGAGTTACTAGAGTAGTCACGAGGTTGCAAAATAAGGTCCGTGAGTGAGTTTCCGATGATTGCTCATAAAGATTATAATTTACGTACGCAAAAAATGTATGGTATATAGCAAATTAAGAATACCTTTCTTGGCCGGCGGTGTCCCAAATCTGAGCCTTGATGATTTTGTCTCCAACGTGGACATTCCGGTAAGCGAACTCAACTCCGATGGTTGGTTTGGAGTCAAGCCGGAACTCGTCCTTGGAAAATCTTGACAAGAGGTTTGATTTCCCGACGGCTGAGTCTCCGATTAGCACCGCCTTGAACAAGTAGTCGCACTCTTCCTCGTACGAGTCTTCCGCCATATTTGTCTCAAGGATTAAATTCTCTCAAGTTCCTCAAGGCCAAACGCTATATGTTACGACAAAATAGGAGAAAGGTGAAGAAGTAAGAAGAAAGGAAAAAAGACAGTTTTCTTAAGCAAAAAAAAAAAAAAAAAAAAAGGAAAAAGACAGTTCCTCCACTGAATTTGGCTTTTGGTTGGAAATCCGGATTTAATAGTGTTTTATATAGTCAAATCATTTTATATATCTATTTTTTTTTAGAATAGTATATTTACTTACGTATTGCTCGTATTTACTTAGAAAGAAAAAGAATGAAAAGGAAACTTGAGTGAGATAAAGATGATGGCATCAAAGAAGATGTAATAATTCAATTGATCACTAAGATCGAGGATATTTAAAACGAGGATTTGGGGATTCAATATAGTATATGTTGATTAGGTTTTAAGATAAATAAGAGAGGAGGAGGATTCATAATCACAATCATAAGTGCAGCTGGTTGGCATGTGAAATCATGGATTACAACATAATGATAAACGTTAGTCTTCCTTTTATCATTGTTTTTTTTTTTGTTTGGGATTACAAAAAAGAGAGAAATAAAAGGTTAAAACAATATTTTACAAGGCCATGATATCGTCGTTCACAATTTCACATATATCTCGAAATATTATTACTGCATCTGTTTCATTTTTTGTTTCCCCTTAAATGTGTAATTTTGTTGTGAATTGATAAGAAAATAATCAAATACTGTCATGATGTTTCAATAATCAAATCATACCTACCTATTTCCTTTCATCTTTGACAAAATTTCACCTAAGTTCACACGCTTTTAAAGTTGTTCATTTTTACACCAATTGTTATTTGACACGACTTGTTGTTTTACTACTGAAATTTTTACATGATAACTACACTTATCAAGATGAAAATGAATCTCTAAGTTTTCATTTTATTTAACTTTCATACTAAATGAATATTTTGCGATTAATGGTAATTTTTAGTTCTAATTAAAAGAAATAAAAATGTAAAAATGTAGCATTGGTAGTAACTTGGGATATGAATCCCTGGCGGATACGTTGTGAACTAAATGACGTGAAGTAAAATAAAATGAAATATGAAGGAGCAAGGGTAATCTTAATATATAAGCAATTCAAATGGGTGAGGTATCAGGGTTGTACCATTAAAAGAAGTAAGAAAGAAGTGAGAAATGTGACAATTCACATGTTCCATTGTAGAAACATTATGTAACCATGTGTGTCTGTTATAGTGTACATATATATGCACGATGCTTCCACTGATTAACATTAGTACAATACTATCTCTCAGGTAATAGCTAAATAATACTACTACTATTATTTGCGATATAAATAATTGAGTCAGTTTTCCTTTTAAGTCATTGTGACTTTTCAAACATGTATGAAAAAAAGTGTTGTGGCTTGTAGAGATTGCTGCAATAATGAAAATTACTACAGTAGCTCTGAGGCCGTTTTTAGTGACTTTCCTTTAATCGACTGAAACAAAACAAAACAAAACAAAACAAAAACGTGAATATCGAATTCTCATTGGGCTGGCCCTTTAAAAAGCCTCTATATTAGTTAAAGGGAACCAGCTTGTGAAATTGTGGCTGCATATATATTTTCCAAACCAATTCGGTTTGGTTATTGTTTAAACTAATCAAATTATTGTGAAAATTACCTGATAAACCAAACCATATTGAAGCTCTCGAATGCAATTCCTTAAAATGCCGCCGATCGGTTTAGTTGAGGGAACCAAAAAAAACTAACCCCAAAATCATAAATCTTGGTTCGATTGGGTTGAGTTATTTATCCCAACTCTACTATGGTCTATGAACACATAAACGAATCTGATTCGTTCCAATGGAAAAAAAATTCATATACCGGAGTAATAAAAAAATAACCCAAATCAAATAACTTGATTAAAATCCATAATTGCAATACCGAGAAAACGCATAATCCATATATGTATGTATAGACGTATATATATAGTAACCATAAGTGTAGAACAAACTCATCATCATCATCCTTATTAGGAAGAGAATCGAATCAATTTTTTTTGTTAAACCTAAAAACAAATATAAAAAGTACATGATCGTATATCTTCTTCACCAAGAATACGAAAAAAGGTGGGAAAAACAATCGGAAACCTAATTGGCGGAGGATCCCTTAACGAGCTCAGGCGAAGACATCATTTTCTGGAACTCCTCAAAATTAACATTGCCATCGCCATCAGCATCAACATGCCCGATCATTCTCACACAGTCTTCAACAGAGCAAGACATACCAAGACGGTTGAGAACCTTATGGATCTCAGACGACGAGATCAAACCGTTCTTGTCCTGGTCGTATAGATCAAAAGCCTCGCGGATCTCTGCGGCGGAGGAGGATGATCGGCAGATGGTGGCGAACTCTTCCTGGTTGATGTAACCGTCGCGATCGATGTCGATATCGTCTAGAACGCGGTTAAGCTCTTCTTCCGTGTATGACGTTCCCATGGATTTGAAAACGTTGCCGAGCTCCGAAACGGAGATCTTCCCGTCGCCGTTGGCATCGAATTGGTCGAAGACCTTCTTGAGCTCCAAGTCCGTCGACGGTGTTGTGGATTTGTTGGTGGTTTCGGGAGTTGTGTTCGCCATTTTTGTGTGTTTGTTGATTTGTGGAGTTTGTGAGTTTGATGTTTTTTTATAGAGTTTTGTGAATTGTGATGATTGGCTTTTAGGTTGATGCTTTCTTTTTTGAACGATGCTTGATGCCTTTTGTATGGCTACCCTTCATGGCGTTCTTTATTTATTTTAAGTTTTCTAAATATATACATTTATTTATTTCTATTTTTATTTTTATTAGCTAAATAAAATGATGATGTTGATATATATCATCGTTTTGTCTAGCTAATGTACATGTGTCTTAGTTTTTCTCTCCTTGACTAAACTACTCTTGTCGCCAATTATTACGTAAGTGGTCGATTGATAAGATCAATGGTAGAGTTGGAAAACAATGAATCAACCACAAAAATTGGCAGAACGAAAACAATATAATGCTCATCAATATTCTATGTTGTTTCTTTTCTTTTTAGAACAATTCTGTAATTCTAAAATTACTTTGTATACTTGTATTAATGCAGCATGATAGTATTTGGTTGTAACATAGTGCGTATCAGAATAAGGAATATGTTCTCATATAGTTTATAGGTCAATCGCTGCCTATATGCGGGAATCTGAAACTACTAGTGCCTAGTGGGAGAGAATGACATTCTCCGTTTAAGATATTAGAAGAGATCAATATATATGAGTGTGACATCTTGAATAATATGTATACTGTAAACGAACGATTCCGAATATTAATAATCAGGTATTCACTGAACCATGATCACTATTAATTCATATGATATTCGTATGCACATTTCTTTAAATAATTTATATATGTTTGTTCAAACTGTTATATACAAAAAAAAACTAAATAAGAAATCATAAATATACGCTTCCTTCTTCCATGCAAACCTCTTTGTTTCTTGTAAAATATAGATAGTTAATGTAAAATAATTATAAGTGCCTAAATTAATAGTAATATCAATTAGTATATAAGGGTTACTAGCTAGAAACAGTAGTTTTTTAAAATAAAAAGTATATTAGGGGATAGAAGAAGGGTCGTGGGAGTGAGTAGAAAGACGTCGGAGACCCAAAAATGCTTGTTTGAAGCCATTGCAGGCAGAGATGAGGAGAAAAACGGCGGCACAAAAACAAAACAAGACAATAACAACATCCCCCATAAATCCAATTTTCGTATCCTTGATAATACCATATTGTAACAATCGCACGCACCCGTAAGCAGCAACGCCTATTAGGGACAGAAATGTTAATGACATAATTATATAACCAGCCGGTTTTACCAATTTTATTACATCTCCCCAAAATTTCGAGGCCATTTTCTTCTACCTTCCTTTTTTTCTTTTCTTTTTTTTTTTATTTTGGTGTGGTCGATGAAGAATAGGTTTTGTTTACATGTACTTATTTATATTAGTGGGTTTTTTTTTGTATTATTGTTTTGCTTCACGATGGTAATTAAGGCAAACTTGCATGGTGAAAATTAAATTTGATAATCGACCATGATGATTTTTGCTAGAGCGTGTCCAAATCTCGATTCATTTGGAGGATTTTAATAGGTTTGAGATTTTAGTCTAAATGGCTTAGAAGCATGCATGAAATGAAAAGATCTGATTAGTTTTTAATACAAATTAACCAAATAATATTCTTACTTTTAAGCGCGGTCGAACTAGTTGGATTGTTGAAACATCCACTGATTTATCAAACGCGTACGTAAACGCATGTTCTTAATATGTATTAAGCGGCAGAACAAAAGTCTTGATATAATGAACTCAAAAGAAGAGCCTCGATCGTACTAAATATATAATTTCATATATTAAAAACTGAGATTTTTCAATCAACGGCCGTGGTGAGGGCAAAACGTGACGACGTAGTTAGCTTTAGAACAGGTAGCAATACTAGTTGGGTCATCGTAGGCGTAGGAGTAGGCCTTTGGGCAAGCCACCTTGAAGATCTTAGAGTAAGCCGTGGGCTTGCATGACTGTGGGTTACCGAACAAGCCGGTACAACAGTAGCGTGGTGAGTTGAAGGCGGAGCACGCGCTTTTACAGGCTACTACCTGTTTCCCGTCACGTGAACGGACCTGTAGACCAACAGGACACATCCGGTTCAGGTCGCTCACGCAACCGGCGTAGGTACACTTTCCCGTACCCTTCACTGGCATTATAGACATCGCCAAGTTATATCTGTCATTATATCATTGATTAACATGAAAATTAGTCTACGAAAGAGTAAACACATACGCTTAGCTTTCTATTTAAATGAAATGTCTCTATATGGTTCGGTTTAGTGGGAGTACAACTAAAACTATATAATAAGTCATTGAATTGTTATTATATTCACAAATTAAACATGGTAGATTATATCTATTTTAAATCCACCCTAATGTTACAAATGAAAATTTATTCATTAACATTTCATATTATAGTTATTCAAATGTACATTATAAACATAGTTAGCAATTAAGTATATATTTTTTTTTTGTTACATCAAAAAAGATAATAGTAATGAACGTAATTATTTAGTTATGATTTTATAACTGAACCGACCAAAAAAAGTTATCGAACCGAATTAAAATTTGGTTTAAATGAGACGACGTACCCATCAACGAGGCTGACGTCATAAAAGTCCATGTCATGACCAAGGGTGATCTCGGCGAGTGTAGCCGGAGGTACACCGCCGGCTCCGTTACAGAGGAGAGAACCACCGCAGTCGCCAGTGGCGCAGTGACCACGACCAGATCTGTCGAAGGAACAACCGTGGCGTCCCCAGAAGCGACCGGACCAGAGCGGTGGAAGTTGGAGAGTGTAAGCTCTTTTGGGAGACAGTTTAAAGCCGCCGCCGGCGAGGAGAGGTTGACCGGAGCTAGCTTGAATCCCAGGCCAGACAGGGTAGGTGCACTTGTTGTAGAATATTACCGTTGATGCTTTTATATTCATCACAAATGTATAAGTAAAATTAATTAATCAACCACAAAGTAATGTCATTATACTGTAATTATGTTTCCTTTAAGAAGATGTGAGATTAAAATGAGAGTAAGAGAGGAAGAGTAGTACCTGAAGCGTGGGAGAGAAGAAGAAGGAGAGGGAGGAGGAAGAGAGACGACGTTGAAGAAGCCATTGTGATGGTTCTTCTTCTGATTTCAACTTGAGTGGGAAGACCAAGACTCTGAAGCAGCTTCACATTTCTCATTGTTTCTGGAGATTTTTCTCTTTGTAGATAGAAAAAAAGCCCATGTCCTTTATTTATTTTTATTTTAAACTTTGGGTTTATTAAAAAGTCCCTTATAAAAATGAAAACAAAAAGAAGATAGAGTCAAGTTGAAAGTAAATAATCAATAATGTACTATTTATCTTTCTATTTTATTGATTTTACATCAAGTAAATGTTTATCGACCATTAAACATTGCTAGCTGAACTAGGCTTACTGTATTGATAGTTTTAAAGAAAATTGGTATTTTACAATATTGTTACGGACAACCATGTTAAAATAAAGAATAATGTATGTGTGATTAATTTGGGGAATGTAGAAATGACAAAACTTATCACATCACTCGAGGCTGTCAGAAGACTAAGTCGAACCTTTTGTTCTGTGACTCGTAAAGTGAATGGTTTGCATAATTTTTACATTTTCCTTCTTCTTATTCCTTTTTTTTTTTTTTTTTTTTTTCTATAATCACAATTTTCTAGTAACACACTACACAGTTCAATAATTCCAAGTTTCCAACTATATTGATAAGCTCTGTTTTTGTTACTTAAGAGTTCATTCTCTCTTTTTTTTTTTTAAACGTTATAAAAGAAACAGCTGATGTATAAAGTTATATTTTCTTTGAATATTAGTTTAACATTTTATTCAAAATAATAATAATAATTTAATAAATCGAAGGGTGTGTCTTTTATAATTAACAAGATCGTTTAAACAATTTTGCCATTCGACTACACTAAAATAGTAAAATTTTCGTAATGGGGACTAAAGAAATTCACGTGAGGTTTTGGATTCACGTGACAGGCAAAGGAATCTAACTATATATGAAGCAGTGAGATTTAAATCTTGAGTTTTGGGTTCCACAAAAGAACAAAAACTGTAAGACAAAATTAATTTCTATAAAACAATACTTTTTATTTATTATATCAGTATTATCGCAAGCGACATAAAAAGATGCTCCACGAAAACGGTGTTTGAAGGCTCTCTGAATAAAGTAGGAATATCCAAAGATGGATTGAAATGAAGAGATCTATGAAGTTTTCAATTTGTTGATAGTGATGTTCTCTGGATAATTCCAACGTTTGATATTAAGCTAGTAAGCTCAAATATTATGACTAACTAATTGGATCACAAAAGAGGAGAGGGTTCTTCAAGCCAACACTTTAGTACCACAATGTAAATTTGATAAGAATAACAAATATTTGGGTTTGAAGTACAAAAGAGCAACGTTGTGGTTAGGTAACAAACAACCGATAACTTCTTATTTCTTTAAACATGATATATCAAAAACTAATGATCCGTAGCGTACATAATTTTAACAATTCAAAAAAGCTTGATAGAAAATTTGATCATGCGAGCTTTGCTTTAATATCTTCAATAATCTGTGGTGTGATAGTTTTATATGACTTCTCAGTCGGATGGGCAATATCCCAAAACACGAATTGAGACGCGTCCAAGCACGGCATTATGGTCGTCGGCGTACAACAACATCCGTCAGCTACATCAATGAACCCTGCATTGTTGTTTTCCCAACGAATGTTATTACATGTTTTGATAAAAATACACATAGTATATGAGTTAGTCTTGTTGAATCATGTGACTGTTAACCTGAAGCTTGAGGGTTGTTGATTAGACCAAGAAGAGAACTGTACATATCGATGTACATGAATTTGGCACCAGGAAATGTCCCACCAAGATTTTCAAGTTCGGCTGATAATTTTTTGTTGAACATATCAGCTGCTTGGTTTGAAAACACTTCACATATTTTGAATACATTTCCAGCCATGTTTCTTGCTCCTGGTAAGCAGCCTAGTGGTAATGTTCCCATAACCGCAAATTTTCTTGCACCCATATCATATAAACTCTTCAAATAACCAAAAAAAAAGAAAAAAAAAAGAGAATAATTTAAATACAATATTTGATGAAAGAAATTAATCGTACTTGACTATGTTTTATATTTTGAAATATTGATTTTTGTACCTTTATGAGATCATGAGTCCAAGTGACCAAGAGATCAGTGTAGCCTGAAACAGTGTATTGTAACCTTCTAGTCATGGTAGTAAAATAGGTGATGGCAATATCATTATTTCCAGCTGAGATTAGATAAACAGCATTTGATATAATCGTGTTTGCTTGTTCTTGATTTCCTACTACACCATTTAGTCTGGTGATGTAGTTTTGGAAGTCTCTAACCTGGTCTGACACCCATATAACTCCCTAATCACATCAAAATATACAATCTATCAAAATTCTGATATATAACTAAGAAAAACTTGTTTTAATTATTTTGGATCAGGATAACAAAAATGTTACCTGTATTCTAGCAGTGATTGCATCAAGTCCCGAACCACCGGATGCGAAACAAACACCAGTTGATAGATCATTGTTCGAGAGTAATGGATCACGGTATGCTGGTAATATATTCTTCAATCCCAAACCTTCGGCTGCACACAAAAGACATTTTTGTTTGGTTATGTCACGCTCACACACAAAACAAAGACATCACCAAAACTAATGCTAGCTATCGGGTAATATTTGTGTCATAACTAGTATTAAAAACTGATGTAACGGTTACAAACATATCAATAGTAAATCGTTCTAGAGGTCAAGATATCAATGACACGTACCAATCATATCCGAAAACACTCTCCCATTGCCAAATCTTCCGGTAGGTCTTCCACCTATAAAATCTCTACCGTATGGGAAGAAATTGACTTTAGTAAGAGTAAGAAGAAGATTGTTGTTGCCCGTATCAAGTATTGAGTCTCCAAAAGCGAAAAGTGCCGAAACCGTTGAGTTCCCATATGATTTTTGAGCTGCAACAACACAAAATAGGCTAATGGAAGAGACTGCTAATAGCATTTTCGAGAGCATAACGAAATTCATATTTTTCGAACTTGCCTTTGGATTAGAAGTTTTGGTGAATATCAGAATATGAAGAGTATAATAAACAAGATAATATCTGATCTTAGAGATAAAAGAAAATATTTATACACAATGACGGTTAATGAAATCAAATAATCGTATAAATGTATATAAACAATTGACTTTTAAAGAAATCAAATAATCAAATTCAACAAATGTGTCAATAAATATTATCGTTGTATACATATTTTTGGGAAAAAAACGGAAAATTCAACGAAATTTATATAGTAGTTAGCACAAAACATAGAAGTATGAATGTAGTAAATGAGAAAGTTTAATATCTCTAGTCAAGCAATGCATGGAATCTGTATTTGGTCTTTTTTTGCTAATATTTTCCAACTTCAGTACATTGTCCCTTTGACTCAGATACAAATCTTCCCTTTTAACGTAACTTATCATCCCCATTAATTGGAGGAGAGTCTCTACATTAACATAATATTTATATTTGAAATTTAATCTAATTAGATAATTAAATATTAAGTTATTGAATCTTATAAGGAATGTAAAAATGACATTTGGCACTAAAATTAAGTGTCTTAAGTGTCTCTAAAAAGACACTCTTTATCTCTTGCTCTTATCATTTTATATTTTTACTACTATTTTAACAAAAAAAATAAAAAAAATGTTTAAAGGCCCCTCCCAATTGTGCGCAATTTGGGGATGTTTTAGAACCAAAATAAAATACATGTTCAATTATTTAGTTGAATGAATACTGAGTCGGCGGCGATCTAATTCTCCTCAATGAACCATCCCTGTTTTATTCATTTTCCTATCTAATAGAATTACATTAAATATTTTAATATGTTTTGACCAAAAAAAATATATATTTTAATATGAATAATTGTGTGAAAGAATAACTTTTGAACTTAAATATTTATATTACTACATGATCTGGAATCATTATTTGTTATGTACTGAAAAAAAAAAAATCTTGTAATGATAAGGTTGGACAATTGCAACAATCTTATTGGTTATATACCTCTAGTAGATATCAAAGACACATCCAAAGGTTTCATCGTCAACGACACACTCAGAGTTGAAGTCGAGATCTTGTCCTTCTGACTCCTTCTCTAACTAGGGTTCAAGATGATCCTAAAGCTATCACTCTCTTCCCTGTTTTTTTTTTTTTCTTTCTCTGGATTAATATAGGGAAAGTTCGAGGTTTTCAATGTCAAACTTGATCAATCCGATTTCAAAATATCACATTATATTAAAATACCAAACTGGATAGGCTTTAAAATAGAGACATATAAAGGAAGCTCACAGCTACATACAGTATAGCTTGAAGAGATAACAGCAGGGAACTCGGTCTTTGATGATCTACATACATACCCGAATTTATTTTCAACTTAAAAGTATTTTTAATTATAACACTGCCGCCAGAATCAGTTTCTCTTGGCGATGAAAAGACCCCACTTCTGCTCACCACTTGAGCTCCTGAGCAGCTTTGAGCTCCACCCGCCTACAATATCCTCGTAATCCTCTTTCGAGAAGTCGCTGATGAATTCATCCTTCTCCTTCTCCACTGCGTCCAGTTCCCGTTTCAGCACTTTCATGAACTGATGAAAAAGGCAGACCGCATATTGGTTTTCTTTTAAAGCATATATGGATCATTTTGAAAGATCATATATAGAGTTTGTTGTAGAGAAACGTTTCTTACCTGATCGGTTCTATCCTCTGCGATTACCTCCTCGAATCCTGCATCTTTCAGCATCTACCAAAACCAAGCAAGTTTAGGCGGCTAAATTCCGTGATTTTTCAAGTAGAAGAGGAGACAAGATTTGTATTTGTATACCTGACCGTATGCTTGTACATCATGAAGATCATAACCTCGTTGCTTGATGTAGTTTGCAAAGTCTGAAGATGGGGTTTTGGGGCTTCTGCAGTAATCAGTAATAAGGATTTTTCCTCCTGGCTTCAACCATTTGTAGAATGTTCTGAACAATGCTGGTTTGTCCTAAAAGTAAGACCAGCGATTACAAATTGAATACCAAATGAGAAAGAGATCTTCGTGAATGAAGTCATAAAGGAAGAAGAAAAAAGCGAAAATTTATACTTGGATATGCAGAATGGTGTCTCTGCTGTAAATAACATCAAATGTATTATCAGGATACTCCTTCTTGGTGCAATCAGCTACTTCGAATTCTACAGAGCATTTGAGTCCTATTGCGTGTTCGAGCGCAAAAGAGATCATGTTTACAGATAGATCAATGCCCACAACATCCACGTCAAAGTTCTCAGCCATGTAGAAGTCCCCTCCTCCGATTCCGCATCCGACATCAAGAACTTTCTGACCGGGTTTAAGATCCAGCATATCCACAAATTCCATTGTTGTCTCTATACAGTTGAAACGGAAAACTAGATGAGTAACATTGAACTTCATATACAAAACCATAAATACAGCAAAATTGATACAAACTCGGTGACTAAAGTGCATACCAAGTCCCCCTGTGCTCACAAAACCTTGTCCAAAGACACGCTCATAGCGTAAGATACCACTAGACTTGTACTGGACATTGTCCAAGAAGCGTTGGAAGCCCCTATCATTATCCGAACTGATTTTCTGCCAAAGCCAGCATATCTGAAATTTTGTGAAAGTATAATATGAATCCGATCATATGAGAGATACCCTCAAACTGTGGCTAAAACATGAAGGCCTATTACCTGGTTCTGGTTCTTTTTGCTTCTCACATAAGCTCCAACACATTTACAACTAACCAAAGAAAGCTCGTATGAATTCCCAGCATCGTCATTCATATGGCATTCTTTGAAAAGCTGAAAGGAATCATGCACCACGATTCAGAATAATTGTCAAGACCAGAAGAATGGAGGAAAATATAGGTAGCACACCTTTGTGTAAAATTTGGGTTCACGGTAGTGTGTTGGGTTGTACTTGCGCTTGTTATCACCAGACTGATGGAAGCAAGACTCCCGAAAGAAAATATACCCACCAACCTTTGTCCATTGTAACATCTTTTTCGCTAAATCTTCAACCTGCAATTTGATGGAAAGACAATAGCTTTGTCAAGGGATATGAATGACCTACTATTTGAAGATTAAAACCACTCTTAGAAGTTAAATATGGACAGGTGACTAATATCTCTAGTACATGGCGCGCTACTAAGTGAAACGTAAGATACTTTATGGTTCAGTTTTGTCATTCGCAATGAGTACTGGACTCCGGACTTTGTTTGACATAAAACTATTATAGAAGTCCCAACATGCATTTCTATTCACTACTACAGGCGGTTACTCTAAAGTGTGTCCTGTTCTAAACTGGTTTATTCACTAACAAGGTAAATGGTTACCTCTTTATCAGAAAGATACATCAGTAGCCAGTTGGAGAATATCAGATCCACAGAGTCATTAGGAAATTTCATATCCGGGGATGTGACATCAGCGCACATAAATTTGACGTTCTTGTAGTGGCCGTTAATTTTTTTATTCTGCAGATAAGACTCTCATGAGCCAAAAAATCGAACAGAACTCGAAAATGAAAAGAAAATAGAAAAAAAAAAAGAGCCTAAAGAAGAGGTACCGGCGTGATCTAACCTTTTTAATAACACTTTCAATGAAGTCAACCGCAATGAGCTGGCCAGCCTTCTGAGCTAATTCAGTAGTGAAACGGCCAATGCCAGCACCAAACTCTAGCACTGTCTTCCCTTCAATGGGTGGAAGAAGCGCAAGTATCTGACACAAGCACACACAGTTTAAGCCTTAGAAGCTTTCGTTCATAAGTCCATCCCAAGGTAATCTGTATAGCAAAGATAATAAGTTTAGGTAAGTGAGACGAAATAGACCTCAGGTCGTTCTTCTTTGTCAAGGTCAGCAGCTTTGGAATCAAGCATCATGGCCTCAACACTCAATCCTACAGAGTGCTCTTTCCAGTAATTCTTTTGGATTTCACGCTCCTCACCTGCAAACACGTAAAGGAAACGAACCTAATCAATCCAGACACTTTATACAAAAATAAAAGTCCCAATTTTTACTCTGCATTACATCTCGATGAAAAAATCCTCCAAAATAGAGATGGGTTCGGTTCAAAAATTCGGAAAAACTCAATAGAGCTTCAAATCCAGCACAGTTTCATCGTGATTTACGCCAGATAACTCACCATACGCAGACATTTTCTGAGAGAAAACACAAGGGAACAAGAAAGAGACGATTTTTCCCCAAGGATGGCGCAATCTATAAACTGAGAAAAAAAAATCGAGAGCTAGGAAACTATGGCTATGATCCTTCGATGGCGAGTCTGGATCTTGAAAAGCTCCTCGATCTGCGGTTGTGAAGCCTACCCTTCGACTGCATCAGCACTCTCAGGTTCCAAATTCGCTGTCTCGCTTCCTCCGGAGTCTGGACTGAGCTCTCTCCTCTCTTTGCCGATCAGAGTTGAGAAGACGAGGAAGTTAAATTTCGGTTTACATATGTTTTCAATTTTCCGGTTATTAAATCGGTTTATTTTCAAAACGATATACCCGATTCTATCTTATCGTATTGGATCCGAAATTCAAACATTAATCAAAGGAGAATCTAAGTTTGTCGTTACGTCCAGACACGTGTTAACTTCTATACCGCCAGATTGCTTCTACACCGTCAGATTGGGTCTGACTCACGTGTTAATGGAGTGTGTCCCACGGTAACGAAGACAGGTTTCGTATTTTCTTTCCTTAATTTGAATTAGAAAATTGCTTCTTCTAGTATGTATATAGTTTTTCGACGTTACAAGAATTATTATTACCTATTCTCGTGAAAGGGTTTTTTTTAAAAAATGAATTTGTATATAAGAAGAAGAATTTGAGACGTTAGTTAAACTAGAATATATATGTATTTCCACGGAATCTAGTGATCAAAATGTCTCTATCTCAGTAATTTCACATCCTCTAAGTTAAGTTCCATTTCGGTTTTTTTTTCTTTTGGATCCTTCCCTAAAAATGTGTATATGTTGTTGGGTGGAATAAGTTGTGTAAAAATTATAGAATCTTCACATATAAACCAAAGAAAACAAAAAGCTACATATCACGTTGTGAATTTCAAAGAGAAACGAAAACTGATGAGAAAATATAGTGAAGATGGAGAGAAAGATGATATAGGTAAAACTTCCCTTTCAGATGAAATAATAAGAAAACCCTTTTAAAATAAAAAGAACTAACTTATTATTTAAGTTTACATTTGGGATAATAGTACAGTAGTTACAAATATAATTCAATTCTCTGTACTTTTCCAGAAATTATGTTATATCTTTGGAAGCTCATATATAAGTAGAATTGATCAAGACAATTGAAAAATAAGAGATCTCTATATATAGAACATGAGTTGAGGATTCTATTCTTGTCCTTGTTGAGAGGTAGAAAACAATATTATCATGTGAATGTTAAACTTGTAACTAAAATGAGCATTAATCAGTTGTGTTGGATTAGAGAACACTAATTTTGAGAACATTGCGGGATCTCTTATGCAAATTATAAAGGAGAGAAAAGAAGAGCAGAACTGAAGAGAAAGGCTTACATAAATCTTTTGAAAAAGGAGAGATGGCTCCATTTTTGTGACTGTGAGCCATTGTCTATTGACAACAAGAACTAACAAAAATCAGAGGTCTAGGGCTTTTTTTGTGTGTGTGTTGTGATTCTCTGTGTTGTTCCTTCTCATCTTCTTGATCTCCTTATATAGAGAAAAATATGAGAATTTTTCATTTTCTTTTAATTTCATTTTCTTTGGTTGGAAAAAAAAAAAAACTTCACTTGCTATATTTCTCACAGCAATAATTACAATGATATAATATGTTTCCTGTTTATTATTTTTTTGGCACCATTAAAGTTATATAATTAATGTGAAGGGTAATACAGTAAAATCTCTATAAATTAATAATATTAGGACCATAATATTTTATTATTTTATAATGAAATTAATTTATAAATTAATACGTATTATATTGTAGTGGTACTCTTAATTGTTGAAAGTTTTTGAAAATATGTTAGATATTATAAATTTTATAGTTTGGAAATGAATCTTATGTTGAGAAAGAAGATAAAAATAGATGATAAATTACAAATATTATATATAAATTCACTTATGATATACATAGATTCAAATTTGTGATTAATAATCTCAATTGTTATATTTTAACATCCTATAAAACTAAAACAAATGAATATGATGCATATTTAGAAATTGAACAATTAAAGAAAAAATTGGTTATTTTATGACATGAGAACAACTTATATCATTAAGATATAGCTTCTTTCTTAATACATAAAAAAAATAAAAGTAAAAGTAAAATCTTAGTTACTTGCTCTGCATGCTGTCACTTCTTTTTGATTAAGAATAGTTTTGTTTAAACTACCGTACAACCAAAGGTTCATACATTGTAATTAGTTAAAGTTGGATTTTTAAGCAAAATAAAATGAAATAGTATTTTACCTAATGGTCAAAAACGTTGATCCAAGATTCAGCTAGGGTTTTTGGTTTTGAAGAAGAATTATAATATATCCCAATGTTTTAAGTTTTTGTATACACATATATGTGTACAATTTACTTTGCTTTAGATTAACCTTCCTAAAAAAATCCCAGCATTCACTATTAACTATAATTGTGGGGATTAAGCTGCGAAACATATCATTTTGATTGGTAGAAAGAGATCCTACTAGCTAGTTTGATAGATTCTAAACTGTTTGGATTCACAGATTCTTTTTATTTTCTTCAAGTTGGGATTCAATGATTAAGATGGGGCATGGCCAACTTTAAACATTTCTAGTGAGTGATAGATAGATGTGAGGGGGACATAAATGTAAATAAGTATGAAACAAAGCACTGTTAGCGTAAGTAAGTAAACAGTTAAGAGTCTTTGAGAAGTAGCGAACAGACAGTGATCCCAAGATGCTCCGAATGGCCAACTTTATGAATCTTTTAAATCCAATGGCTCACAGCCACATCCCTTTGTTTTAATTTTCTCTCCCTGTGTCCTCTTGTTTTCTCAAAAACGTTTTTCTAATTTCTATGATTATGATTCGTAATACCACCAAACGTTATAATCAATTCAACATTCTTTTCCACTAAACTAAAATTACGAAATTGTAATACATATATATATATATATAACAGAATAGTTAAATAGGTTAATTAGAAACCACACTCACACAAAGTATATGTAGGCAAAACTTAGAAACGTTGGATTTATCATATATGTATACCTACTTATCGAGTCGTTCTACTAGTTTTGCCATAAATATCTCGGCAAATTTTGTTGAATAGTTATATCAAAATTTCAAGATCAGCTACTAACTCATTTTAAACAAAGAGAGTAACTAGTTGATTAAGTTGAAGATGTTTACACATATGACATCTAATTTTAATTGTATGTAGTAGTTTTATAATTGGCTATATATATGTATATGTAAGAGCCCTAGAATGAAAAAAAAAACATATTTCAAAGCAAATGTTTATTTTTCGTGGCCAACATTTTTATCAAACATAATTTCAATAATAAAATATCACCCTTCCACCATAAATGAATATTCATGATTCCGACCTACATGTCTTTTATTTGCATCGCTTTCGAAGATTCTTGATTAATATTGTCCATTAGGTTTAGAGAGGTCAGAGATCCGTCGATTTTGATGGAGGAAAAAATAAAATACAAAATGTCAAGGTGCGTGTTGTTGATTCGAAAGAAAAATGTGGGAGAAGAAAAGGAAATTAGGCAAACCACTTGACACTACTGAAGATCCACATAATGGGAATTAGTGGGTCTACTCCTATCTTTCCTTGGACCACAACTTTGTTGATATTTTTTTTCCTTGCCAAAATTTAAATAATCGGACTGACCTCATAATGAAACGAACAAATATGATTGCCGCTACATTTTTGTTTTTCTCGAATAGAAGGTGATCATCTGCAATTGTTGTCACTCTTGTGAGTGTACATGGTAGAAGTGATCCTCTGCAATTGTTGTCACTCTTATGAATGTACATGTACCTCTCCAACCACATTAATTGATCGATCGTTCATCATTCATATTTTTATATTAGTAGTTGTTTCTTGAGTTTTATGAAAGAATGTTTTTTCTTTGGATCTTTTTCTAGCCTAGTCTTTCTTTATTTTGTTTATAGTAGTAAAAAAGACTTGATTCCATATTACTTGTAAGTCTTCGGTGATAATAAAACGAATATAACTGAACAACCGGAAAAAAAAAAATCTTCGGTGACAGCGACCATAAAAGAAAACCACTATACACAAATATTAGACTAGATAGTAGCTCTAATGAATAATGATAATAATGAGCCTACACTCTCAGATTATAAATCAAACTTGTTCTTTCAATTTGCCTACTTGCCCTAGTAATATTTATATGATATACATAAGGTCGTATGCAATTATGTTATAATTAGTATAGGCAAAGGACTCTAAATACTAATTAAGAATTCTGAATATGGGGTATGCATATAATTATGTAAAGTTAATAATTGAACCTTGTTATTTTATCACCCGATGATTTAGGGTTAACAAATTATTATTATTCCCAATTGGGAGCCTATCTTGGTCCCCCACCTATCATTCCTATTTTTCTTCTTATTATTACTGAATATTATTCATTTGTATATTTCCTTATTTCGTGGCCATATATGAAGAAGATTCTCATTTTACAAGGTCCATATAAGTAGATTAACACTTATATAAACAAAAGATGCGAAAGCAAATATAACATTATAATGTATATAGTGGGTTTTTTACTCAGACAGAACAAAGTCTTACGTCTTCAAGTCGTCAATACCTTAACAACCTTTGTCATTTCTTCACAAATTTTGCAGTCCAACCTTTTTTTTTTTTTTGATAAACCCTATCGGCTGATTCGGTCAGCCCCGGTAGAACAAACCGAAGTGTTTCAGAGTGGCAGTCCAACTTTTAATGTTTCTATATCTAATGACCTTTTATATTTCAATGTTTCTTAAGTTTTTGAGATCTTTTCGTTATGGGATATTATCTTACGTAGTTTTTGGCAATAAAACCGATGAACAAACTTTTTGGTTGAGGAAATACTGTATATGGGACTAGAAGAGTTCGTTCACGCAGCATGACCGGATGAACCAAAAAAGGAGAAAACGTCGAACATTTCTTGAAATCGTAACATATTTGTGTGATGTTGGTCTTAAGGAGTCCCCCAAGTAGTGTGTCTCCCATCAAGGTCTATTAGCATATGAAACAAAACTCCTGCTAGGCCTACATTTAAGGAGGAGGAAGCAGCCCAAGTGAAGGCTTCAGTTTCTGTCGTGATGGATCTTTGCTCCCCAATATCTCTCACCTTTCCATCTTAATATCTAAGGATCCATCCCATCGGCCCATTAGTTTAGGCAACTTCTTTTCTTTTAGAATTTCTCAGAAAGTAAAAACTCAGCAACAGCAACA